TGTACAGTACGTGAAGTGCTTTTCCAAACTTCTTATATAGTTTATCTATTTAACACATTAAAGCATAAATGAACTGTTCCTTTTTCTGCTCTGAATGAAATACGATGTATCTTAGGTGATGTATGACATTGTACCTTGCGAATTGAACAGCAATATGGAAATACTGAAATAATGGAAGTTCTTACAATATTTGATGTTTCGGTTCAACTGCAAAAATCCAGGGATCTTTTCAAGAGTTATCTTTTTAGAATATAACAATGGGTGGTCTAATAGAGCTAATGACAAAGCATTGCTGAAAACTGAACAGTCCTTTGCTACTTAAAATAAGCCTGCCTACCTAATAAGCAGTATTCTTTAAATATCATTCTTCTTCCAGGAAAGGTAAAGTAATGATGACTGAACTATTCTTTAAAACAGCATGTAGGCCCTAATAGGGGAACCCTAGCAGAAAATATAAAGTGCAGTACCTTTTTCCAGGTCATCAGATACTGGGTTTTCTGAGAGCCTTTTTATTAGGCTGGGGAAAAATGGCCAATGGATGAAAGCTGTCTCTCTCTCACACACATCCCATACCCACACTTTTTCTAATTACCAAGGCAGAAAGAGTGGGGCGATTTCTGTTTTATTTAATAATTGAATTGAATAAAGTACCCAAATCTACCACATACTCGCCTTTTTAAAGATATTTGATATAGCATTGAAGGTCCGTTTTTCTAGGATTAATGGATCAAATGCATTCCACCTGACATTGTTTGGAGATGTGCCCACATGTTTTCAATTATTGTAGTGCACTGACTTCCTCCCTCCACATTCTGAAATTTATTGGTCATCGTATTCTTAAATATCTCAGCAGCAGATATTGACATTAGTCCAATAAACTGTACATTTAATCAGATAAGTTTTTATCAATAGGGCAAAGCATGGTATCTAGATACAGTATAGTATAGCAAAGCATAGCACAGTAAAGGTAACACATGCCCTCCAGCATAATCCTACTCAAAATAAAGGGCAACTAAATTGAATGGAATTCTCATGAATAAATGTACAGATTTTAAGCTTAAAAACTAATTACCAAATTCAACTTGGAACATGATTAAATTAAGATTCCACTGCAGAGTCTATATAAGTAAGAAAAAAAAGTCATTTCTCCAGAAGCCTATTTTTTATACAACATTTCTTCTTATTATTATTTTAGCATTTTGGAACATACTGTATTAGAAACATGAACTTCCTAGATCTGTTTCAAAATAGGGGGAAATAGTTGTGAATTTCAACTGTAATATTAAGAAGAAAATCTCTAGATTTTAAAAAAAACCCAGGCTCTTAACATTTCTTCTGAGTTTAGGAAAGGGTATTTTATTGCTGATTTGGAATAGTGGAGAACTGAATCCATAGAGAGGGGATTTTGAGATATGACCTTCAATAGCAGTCATCTATCATAAACCAAGTTGGGACCATTTCTCTGCATGTGATGCAGACCAGAAGAAGAAGGTTCAATATCACTCCTGTTTTATAGCAAATCAATTTTTCTTTGTTTGTTGTCAGCTTTTCAATTCCATGTGCATGTTTTTAAAATGTTACAAATACAATGCAGGAGATTTGTTGGGCAGTGATATTAAACTATTATGATTTCTGTTCATCTGCCTAAAACATGCAGAGGGCCTTCTCTGTGGCTGCCCCAGCTCTCTGGAACCAGTTACCTCCTGAGGTCTGGACCATCCCCACCCTATTGGCCTTCCGAAAAGCGGTGAAGACCTGGCTTTTCCGGCAGGCCTGGGGCCGTTGATCTCACTTTGCGATCTGACGAGATCCGGCCATGAATGGTGTGAATGGGTTTTAATGTCTTTAATGTTTTTAATTTTTAAGTGTTTTTATAGTGATTTTTTGAGCGTATTGAGAGCCGCCCTGGGTCTTCGGAGAGGGGCGGCATATAAATTGAATAAATAAATAAATAAATAAAATCAGGATGACCTCTGGATTCACTGTATGCTTTTAAATTTCTACCACAAGAGATCAGCATTATAACAGGCAAAGTGTCCTTATGCTTCATTTCTGTTTTTGTATTTGTATTCATAACTTTTAAGAGATTCTGTGGAAAACACCTCTATCAGAAAATTTAGAGGAACATTCAAAAGCAGCTTGATGAGCCCAACCATATGGGTGATTCATATAGCCAAAATACTTTTTGGACCATCTCTTAAGAGTTGTATCTTTTCTGAACTATTCTTTTCAGGAGAAAGATTCAGAGTTACCTGAACAGGATGTATGGAAGGCTAAGATTACCTGTTGTTAAGGCTCATTCAACTATTATTATTAAGGAAACTATTTACTTTAACAATAACCATCTTCAGGTCAGCATTTAATATATAACTGACTTAAAATCATGTCATTGAAATGATCTGCTATATCTGATTGGAAGGTCTCTATTAATTAAACTAAATGATTTTAATAATAATAATAATAAAATGCAGCAAAATCGCACAAACTGATTACAAAGCTAGACATGATGGAGTTGCTAAATTAATCCACTGGTCATTATGTAAAAAATACGATTTACCTGTATCCAAAAAGTCATGGGAACATAAAGTGGAAAAAGTTATAGAAAATGAGAAGGTGAAGATCTTGTGGAACTTTCAAATACAGACGGATCGTCACTTGGAACACAACACGCCAGATATCACAGATGTTGAAAACTGAAACGTACAATTTATTGACATCGCGGTACCAGGATGAAGAGTCGAAGAAAAAGAACTGGAAAAAATCATGAAATATCGCGACCTGGCCATAGAAACTACACGGCTACGGATGAAACATGTCACAGTGATACCTATTGTCATCGGGGCACTTGGTACCATGTCCAAGTGCCCCAAGAATTTCACAAAATACTTCAAGAAATTGCAGCTTCCTGCAATAACACCAGCGGAACTGCAAAAAACTGCCCTACTCGGAACATCATATATTTTAAGAAGGTACTTGAGTGATACCTAGGACGCTGGCAGCAACCCGTATCAACCATTAGCACCAGTCAATGGTATTTGTGACATATTTTTAAATGTCCAGTTGACTGACTTTCACTTTTAATGAATAAAAGAAATAATAATAATAATAATAATAATAATAATAATAATAATAATAATAATTTAATATCCATCATCTACTTCAGGATGGCTGTCCTTGAACTAAACAATGCTAAAATTCTGAGATTCTTTTATGGATCTTTTTAATCACATTGAAGATATTAATTTAACAATGGCAGCATTTATTTGCTACATTTCTATAATGTCGTATTTTCATAGGACTTATGACAAAATGTTTCTATTATCACTGACTCAGCCTTTTTTTGACATCATTGTTTTGTCTTTTGCTTTCTTATGGTTTCACTACAATTCATTCATATCTTAATATACTATTTAATATTTTGCAAATTGTGCAATCCACAAATTAAATCTTAGGACAATATATACAGTATACAATTTTGAGATCTGCTATAAACATGTAGGTAATACAGTAAATCTGCTGTAGTGTATACACACATGCATCCCCAGAGAGACAGGAGGTGGGGAGGAATCAGGAAAAGAGTGAGCTAAAAGACAGGATATAAATGAGAATAAAGAAATAAATTAGCTAGCTAGCTAATTGACATGCTGAGCGGGAATTCTGGAAGTTGCAGATCTAATGCTTCTACAAAATGCTAGGATGGAGAAAACAGGCATAGGTCAATATCCCTGATACAGTACAATGAAGTTACCTCAAATTTTAATAAAAGGTACAGTACAATTATATGTTGTAGATATTACTTTGTTTTAAAATCTATCTTTACAGGAAACTAACATGTTTGGGAAAAGTTATAACTCAGCTTTTTTGTCCAAACACCATGTTCTGTATAACTGTAAAAGTCAAAAATCTGTAAACTTATCTTGGGATATACCGGTAAATCCTTTTCAACTCAGTGATGCTTATTCAAAGTACACATGATTATAAGATTATATTTGCATGCAGAATATTCTGACAAATTATTCCCACTTTACCTATTATAAAGCCTTTAAATTAAAACACATGCATATTAGAATTCAAATATGATTTACAATAAAGCATGATTACAATTTTTTGATTCATACACCAAAGAATCAAGATGCATATTCTTTAAGCCAATCAACACAAGCTAGACTGTATATCAATACAATTACGGTATTTAGTATAATTTTAAAGTACTTTAGTTTCTGCTGCATTATAAATGCCTTTCTTGCAGAAACTGTTCAAAATTTTGTTTCGGGTTCAACACATCTTGTCTATTTCGGTATCAAGGAATATAAGTACATGCCAAAATAGGGTGCATTTGAATCTAGGCCATTGTTGCTATTTTAAAGCTGTATTTTACCTTAATCTATTTCATAAAAAATGGATCTTAATATGCAAAACTGTACTTGCTTTGTATTGTAAAATATTACTTATAACAATGGACACTACAGATAGTTCTCAGTTAATGAAGGCAATTGGGACTGGAGTTTCTGTTACTAAGTGACACAGTCATAAAGTCGTTTAGCCACAGCAATTCCAGCAGTTCCAGGTTGTTGTTATTTATTTTATTTTATTTTATTTATTTATTAGTTTGTCAAACATGTACAAGATAGCAGGTATGAATATGAACATGGACATGAATGAGGGAAATGAATACAAATAAATGGGGACAGTAGGACAGGGATGGTAGGCACGCTGGTGCACTTATGCATGCTGTTGTGGTTGTTAAGAAATCCCACACCTCATAAAGTGAGGACATCACATGGTAACCATTCAGCACCATCGTAAGTTTGAAAAAACTTACTAAAAAACTGATAATTAAATTAGGACCACCTCTATATAGTTATCATTTTTATAACTGTTACATATGTATAACTTGTTTGAATAACTTCTTGATATATTATAGATGCACATTGCACGTTTATGATCATAAATACCAATCAAAATTAGGACTTTTATATTGATACAGAAAGGAAGGAAAGTACGCAAGAATGTTCTTTTATTACTTTTCAGAGGAACAAATCAACTACAATAATTATGTAACAACTTTTGAAGAGAAGTGTGTATTTTGATTTATAATCACATAAAAATATTTTTTTTTTCTGTAGAAGAGAAGTATGGCGTCTTTACAGGACAGAGGAAATATAAGAGAAGAAATTGATAAAAACAGTCTGAATGATAACTTTTAAAGAAAGTATCAAGAATTAAATTCATGTTTTTAACAAAAGTTTATGTTTTAAACAACAGCAAGAACAAAAACACTATTTCAAAATACTTTTGTTGAGTGAACAAATATTGGAGTTTTTTAAAATCCCATTAGGAAATAGTAAATAAACCACAATTCATGACATGTAAGGACGATTGAATATATACTTTAGAGTGAAAGTGGAAAATTCTTTTTGCACCTGCAGTCCTTCACATTTTCCTGTCATTACTGCCTTAGATAGGGGTTGGCAGATCACCAATGTGTTTACAATTTTATTATAATTATAATTCCTGGTTTAAATTTAATGATAAGCCAGGATTTAAATAAAGTAAACCAGAATCCTATTTCATTCTTCCTCTTAATGCAGAGAATTAGAATTGTATATCTGCACCAAGCACTTCATGGTTTTCTTTCTGCTGGGATGTAGAACTAAACTACAGTTAGCATTGCATATGAACAATAGCAGTCCGTTTGGTCAAACTAATTATACATTCAGAATATAAGAGTTATACTGGAGGTTATTGTCTTACTGTTTCCATTATTTTCAATGCAAATAATTTATAAGCATATGTATTACTTGCTCAGAGAATATCTGTTATTGGCAGCTTAGAAATTTAATCAGTAATTCTAATTTACACATAGAAGATATGTTGTATGACTTGGATTCTATCCACGAATTGGAGACTTATTTGTCTGTTTTAATGTGTATGGTTTCTTGACTGCTGTGGGAAAAAAATTGGAAATTCGCCATTTTCTAATCATAAATTATTCAATCATGAAACAGGAAAAGCACAATATGAATTAAATACTTCAAGTCTTAAATGAAAACAGCACCACCCTTTCATGGTTTAGTTTTGACAAACCTGCTGTTTATTTTCTCTCTTGCATCTTTTTTCTACTTTGATGATTTACTGGTTCTTGATTTCTTAGGTTTTGCATAACTTCGTTCTTTTTCCTGTCAATAAAATATATTAAGCATTAAAATAAATTATATTTACATTTAAGAAATCAAAATTGCTATCACAAATGTTATCTCTGTCTATTACTAATTTATATTAAAATGTATATATGATTTTCCAATAATTGTTGGCTGATTATCATTCATTTGTCTATCAAAAGCTATGATTTAAAAAGTAATCAAAGTATCAGTACATCTTAGGCCTAAAACTAAATATTTTACTATAACAAGCATATCAAAACTGTAAATTAAATAAAAGCTGAATAAGCAGTGAAATGCATTTTGAGTATTTTCAAATTTATATAGGGAGATCCTTATACTATACTAACAAATCAATACTTAATAGTCTTAAAGAATATTAGGTATATTTCTTGTTAATATAAGTTTTATTCAAAAATATTTTATAATGTTCAATGGACACATCAAAGAAAGTTTAAAAGGAGATGGCTATGAATTTCATTAGGCTGATAGCAAGGCACATTTGCACATGTGATATGAACCTGGTCTAATGTCATCCCATTTGATTTATGTATGCGAAAGTAGTTCTGGGAAGAGTAATATGATTTAAAGATGTGGGTGTCATGATGAATTATGAACCAAAAAATTGGATTTTTTTTATCCCTATTTAGATCTGTGAATTTATTGAGCAAAAAAGAAGAGAGTGGAAAGACAAAAAAGAAAAGACAGTGCTGACCCAGATTTACAAAACTGGATTGATAACATATTTTCATTTCCTTCTTAGGAGCTAGCTCTTTATTCATGTAATGGAAAGTCTGATCAACATTATTTTGTGTACTCAAGGCTTAAAACTATATTTAAGAGGTTTTTTTTTAAAAAAAATCCTTTTTGTTACTTGTGTATAATTCCTCCCTTTTTGTATATAAATAAAAAACACAAAATCAGAATATGGAACAGGGAATGTGAATATGAATATTTGTGAACAAATATTTATAAAAGCTGTACAGTTATTTTTCAATTAGTCTTGTTTTAATCTATTTTATTTCATTCGTTACTATACATAATAATATTCACACTGGACTGGTTGATCCAAAATGATGTGGTTGCTTTTCTTGGGAAAACAGCTTAGTAAAACATTTTGAGACTGGACCTACTTCTTTCAGGCTTTCTCTCAGGCTATGAGGCTAAGACATTTTTGTTTATCTCAAAAGATGACCTATATAGAAGAAAGAATTTTAATTCTGCTAGTACTATTGGACATGTTGGCATCTTTTGTTATGGTCAATTATGATAACTTGAGCTGTCTGGTTGTGTTGGGCTTTGTGGTGGTTATTTTGCAGTGGCCCTGGTCTTTCTTGCTGGGACAAGAAGGTGGTTCTGGGGGGACAATGATTCAATATCTAGGCCAGTTATTAATACTATTCCACAATATAATTTAGCATTTACATGGAACTTCCAGGGATGGTCATCCATAATTCTAGAATAGAATGCCATCAATACACCAATAAGACCTAACTCTGCTATTCCATACTCTCTTATTTGAAGGGACCAATCAGTACCATTGAGCACTACCTACGAATAATGGGGCTACATGATGGAAAATAATTTGAAATTTAATGCGTAGAAGACAGGTGGTCCCGGGGTAAGGAGAAAGCTGAATTCCCAAATTGAGATGTCTCTCCTCCACTGAACTGCGAGATTGTGGGTAGTAACTGTGATGTGGGGCATGTCTTGTACAATTATGCTTCCTGTGCCAGATGAAGTAAAGTGACAGTTATCTATGGCATGCTTTCTTGATGAATGCAGTTGCTTTATCTCTCTCTCTTTCTGTGACTTTATTATTATTTATTATTAATCTTACATAGCTATAGCTTTTAAAACAATGCAGACTTTAATTCAGTGTAAAACTGCATAATGTTAATATTATTTTCCAAATATTTTTATAAACAGAATTTGGAATATCAATGACTTAATAAAGAGTACATTTGAAAAACAAAATTGATCTAAAATGGTATATATGCTTTTAAATACCTTGGAAGTTTACACTGAAGTTTAAAAGTATATATAATGTACATTATATAGTTAAATGAATTATTGTGGTCATTCATTCTTATGCAACATGAAATAGTGTCCTTAGGATCAGCAATAGAAATCCAGGGAGTTACTTGCCATCACCAGGTTCTACAACTGGGGTGGGCTACAAATGTTTTCAACAATCTTGCTGCTCTTTGCTGTTTATCATCTTGGCTGATGCTGATCAGAGCTGAAATATCTACAAGATACCAGTTTGACATTCCTAGCTAGAACATTTTAATTCAATTCTACAACCTAACTGTTTTTAGGACATCAGCTATTAGACTGCATATTCATATCGGTATCAATTCATATAATGTTGATTTTCAAACAAACAAAAGATATTCCTAATAACCACTTTTTCTGTTTCTGTTTGTCTCTATATAAGACAATAGAAATTCAGAGAAAATTGGAAAAGTTCATGATTTTTCCAAGTTAATTCCTAGGCCTGAAATTGATTCTGAATGTTAAATGTTTTTCAGTTGCACTGAACTTTTCTTCTTTGAAATATTGATAATGGTAATTAATGTATCCTAAAATTAAAAAGAAGTGTATAGCATGTTATAAAAATTTAAATTAGCCTTTATGAAAATTATACAAATTTCAAAAGTTATATCAACTAATATTTTCTGCCATCTAATGTCATAGTTTCTCTTAACTATTCTTATTAGAGTCAGTTTCTAAGATTTATTCATTTGTAACCTATAAAAGGAACTACATGAAAGGTAAGAAAGGGTTAATTTTATATCATGCTATTTCACAATCAATACTTTTAATTTAAGAAGCTCAGAGATTCTCATGATGTACAGGCCAGGAAGTTTTGTATCCTGGTGCTCACTGCCAATGCATTATCAATATCTGGTTCAGACCAATTTTTAAAGAAAAACCAATACATAACTTTTCTATATAGCTCAGATACTCCCTTTTTATGACCCTGTAATCCCTTAGTTCGGGATAGAGTTCGGGCGACTGGATGAAGTTTACTGCTTACTGACCGGATTTCTCCCTGATGCCATGTGGAGTTTGCAGCAGATTTCTTGGCATCCTAGGAGAAAAACATCTGCTGCTACCTAGGATTGAACTTTCAACCTTCCAAGTGGGAGGTGAGAGTCTTCACCATTAGGCCACCACGCCAACTCTCTGTATATCTCAGATCTGATTGAATTAATTGACTTGATACATGTAGACCACATAAACAGTTTCATATGAAAAAGCAAGTGTCATGACAAATTTCTGGTTAAGCATGAGGAATAATATACTAAAAGTATATGCATGGAACTCAGCAGTCACATGCTTGCTTTTTATTCATTGTGTAAATCAGTATAATGAAAAGCTTGTGAGCTACCATTTTTACGTACATCTATATTATTTACTATACCTGCAGATGAGGTCTTAAGGTCTTAGTGATGTCTTGATAGGACACTGATTCTTTCCAATCTCTTTTTCTTTTGGATTTATTGGATGTTGTCAGCCCTTCAAATCCTGAACCGGTTAATCTGTAAGCATTTGTTTTTGTTTCCTTCATTGGATTTTGTATCTGATTCTGAAATACTCTGAGAGCTCCTTCAGCTATTTCATCAGTTTTCTTCGACCTCAGAAGATTCTGACCTGCACTGAGATGTGCAGGTTTATTCAAAAGCTGACAGATGCTTGCTGTATGATGCTTTGATTGGTTATCAGCAGATATCAAAGAAAAATGTAGCTTTGTAGCTTTGGTTTTATTGGAATGTTTGGTTAAAACTGTTCCATTAGGTAAAGGGAAGTTTAACAGATAACCAACATCTTTATTTTCTTCTTTTAATACAAATTTGTTAGCTCTAATATTTTTTCTCATCTTCTGAGAAACGCTTTTATTTGTAACATTTTGAAATGATGTATCAGGTAGTGATTTGTTAATCTGATCTGCATTTGGGCTGAATACAGCTGATTTAGCAATTGCATGATCTGTTACTAGTTTTGATAAATCTTTTGAAACATTTTTTCTTTTCTTTTCATTGATTCTTTTAGTGAACTGCCTATCCATTTGCAATAACTTTCCTCTGAAAATGGGTATGATCCTCTTGGCGTCATTTGATTTCAATGTTGAACCAGAATTTTCTGAGGTTTTCCACTGTTGTCCAATATTGTTTTTGTTTCCTACTCCACCATGCTCATCATCTGCAGAAGTATATCCTATTTAAAGAAAACATCAGTTTTCAGATGGTTGACTTTAAGCTCCACCTTGTGGCTATTATTTATAGTACATGCTTAAAGTTTGAAATACCTTTCTTTGGAACTACTTGAGTCAAAGGTACCTTGCAGTTCCTTTCTACAGTAAGGTTGGCTGGTTTAGAGTTTACTTTCTAAAACACAGGAACCAAATAAAACAATTTGAATCACATTACACATCACTAATTAATTTTATATATAATTGTAAATATTTTGGAATTAACAATTATAACTGAATAATGCGATACCAGAAAATTAATATGGTAAGAAATGTAATTTTCTAAATATTAGTAACACATAAAATCTTCTCATAAAAATTGACACTGGATAAAAATCCATTCAAATGGACCTGTACGTTTTATTGAGAGACTGAAAGTGAACAATAATTCAATTCCATTTCAACTGTATTGGAATGAACAATTATACAGATAGTCTTTGAGTTACAAGTTACAATCATTCATTCAATGACCGTTCGCAGTCAACGACAGGTGTTGAATGAAAGAATTTATGGTCGTTCCTCAAAGTGCCTTCATGATCAGGTGAACAAAATTTGGATGCTTGGCAACGAGTTTATATTTTTGACAGGCTGCAGTGTTCTGCTGTCATTGCCAATTTGCAACCTTCCTTGCTGGCTTCCCACAAGCAAAGTCAGTGGGGAAGCCAGTAAGGAAGATTCCAAGTTGCTTGAATAAGTTTCCTTCCCGGGGCCTTTCTTTATTCTCACTCCCTCTTTCCTGGCTTCACTCACAGACACCCTGCACCTTCTTTCCTTTGCCTCCCTACACTTGCACACATGTATGCTCCCTAGTCCCAGCTGATGTTTCCTCTCTTCTTCCTCCCACTGCTGATGTGGTGTGCCTGGCCTGGCTGGGTTGTGACTAGGCTTTGTGCTGCACTGGAGTACAGGGGCTGCATTTTGCAGGCTTCATACATTGAAAAAGAAGAAAGGAAAGGAAGTAGCAGTTTTAAGCCACAGCATGCCCAAACACCTGTTTGCACAGAGATCCTGGATGGGGATGGATATATGCTGCCAAAAAGAAAAGAAAAAAAGAAAAAAGAAAAAAGAAAAAAAGAAAGAGCAATCAAAAGCAGGGAAGCAGAGAGCTAAAAGGGCATAAATGGAAGGAAAATAGGGTTGCTGCAATGACCGTGCCTTCAGGTCCAAAATCCCTTCTTTCAAAACTGGTGTAATTTCGAATGATCACTGAATTATTGGTCGGATGTCAAGGACTATCTATAATTCATTCTAGCTTGACTGCATTTGCTGGTATCAGCACTTTTCACTATAAAGCTATATTACCAAAAGTAAGATATAGAGGAATTTTCACATTACCCCTGGCAGTTATATCATAGAAAACATATTTTCTAAGCTGAATTACCTTGTTTCTACCATATAATAAAAATACTACTGCTAAACATTTCTGAATAAGATAACAAAGTTAAATTAAACCCCTTTAGCCTTGTTCAGATTGAATGCATTGATGTTTTCATTTCAGATTTCAGCACAGATCAGATATACCTGAATGGGCATGATACAGCATCTGTTTTCAAATTAAAGATGGGACAAGATGCGATCTACATACTGACAGCACCTTCAGTATCAATTCCATTTTTCATCACTGCTTGGTGTGGTGAATTTCTTCCAGAAATATCTAGAATTCTTTGTTAACTAAGGCCAGATGGGAAGCTAGTTATATTCCCTTATTCCCTGGAAGATCATCATGTAAAATGATGTAATCAAATTCCACCTCTCATTCAGAAAATATCAGGTTGTTTTTACTTTTGTGCCAGAAACAGTACTCATTGCCTTTGAACTAAAAAAATGAAGAGAGGCATAACCTGCCTTCAATTACTAGCCAAAGATAGTACAGATGCTTAAATGCTTCTTTTCATGTTTCCAACTTTCTTTTTTCATTCTTTTCCATTACTATAACATGGTGAGAAAATTATTTTATTTTTTAATTTTTGAGCATCACTGAAAAAAATATTAGGCAATGTATGCATTATAAATTACTAAATCAATAGCAAGAGCCATCATGGTTTACTATTACCATCATATTTATACAATATAGATTTTAAAAATGGATGGAAAATAAAGTATAAGAATAGAAAATTGTCTCCTGTTTTGTAAGCATGAACTTTTAGACAAAGCCCATATGTAAAACCTCAGAGCCACATCTGTAGAGAACAGGCAGTGCTAAGCTGCAATGTGATCAACAACTAATAGCTACAAGCAAACCCAACTGATTTAAGATACAATTCAACTGCAGTTTTTAGAAATTACTAAATCTATCCTTGTTATGGAATATCTCAAAATACCAATAAGCAGTTTTGTCAGCTCTTTCTTCCTTTTTTCTATTACTCAAGACAACTTAGATTAGACTTGTAGCTGATTGCTATCTAATAATAATATTGGTACAAATCTCCATCTGGAAGTAATTAGTGCATAATTCTGCAAGGAAGTCATTTTTTATTTTTTATTTTTTTTAATTATTCAGGAGGTTTCTATAGAAAAATAAGTGGCATAGTAATCAGAATTTGCATTTAGCTAGTCCTTAAGGAATCATTTTAGCTATTTAGGGATATCCAGTTACATCAGTGTTTTTCATAGCAAAAACACTGTGTCTGCTCTACGTGTTTACTATCACACTTTAGCTGCCTTCTCAATTATTATAATAAAGCAGTAGAAAAGATATATTGAGAAAAATGAAGATAATTGACTATTTCAATGTTTAATCAAGTATATGCCAATAAATGATACACACATACACACTTACATATACAATATTACCTGAACAGATGCTGATATAAAATTGTTTGTAGTACACATTGCTTTCTGTGTCACCTTAAAAGGAAATCCACATATATGAGGAATGACAGTATTCAGATCAGTAACAAAAGAATCTAAAATTGTTTCTAAATCCGCTCTAGGAAAGTACTGTATGGGCTGACTTCTGATGCAACTGGAAGGATATCTGAATCATTATTAAGGAATGAAATAAATAATTTGACAAATTGATATTAAAAAGCATCAGGTTTACCATAGGTGCAATTTCTTGAATGATAGGAGTTCATTAAAGTAATGAGAGCAAGTAAAAACTGCTACAGGTACTTTCTGCACAAAGTCAGTGAAATGAATGTGAACTTCAGAAAAACTTGCCCATGTTTCATTTGTTTCAGCAGAGTCTGTTCGGGAATAAGCTCATTATTTGATGGTTAAGTTTAAATGTAGGTATTGGAGGAAGGGAAATAAGAGTTTATAGGATTTGGAGGGTCTAAGGATCCACTGGTACAGCAAAATTTGCTAGGTGAAGTTGTGTGGTTTATGTGTAATTGACGAACTGGGCCAATAAGAGAAAAACAGGAATTTGGAATGAAGTTGAGCAGAGGTAATACTGTTCTGTGGTGGGGATGAAGTGTGAAATCAGAGTTTAGCTGGCTGCAATTAGGTATGTCTCAGCAACATTGGCAGCAACATTGTAGTAAGTAAATATAGGTGCTGCCAAATGTAATCTAAACTTCTGGTTAACTGTGCAACTGCCCATAATAATGGCAAATCATTAGATACAGGTGGGGCATGAAACCTACAGCAATACAGCTTTGTCAGGGTTAAGCCAAAGTTAATTATTTGCATTCAGACTTGCATATTCTAAACCAGGGGTGTCATCATGTGATATATCGTGACTTTTCTCCCCCTTTGCTATACCGGGCATGGGCATGGCCAGTCCATGATGCATCCACAGGCCGCAAGTTTGACAGCCCTGCTCTAAACAAATTTTGAAGCCTTTTGCAGAACTTTCCACTTAATTTAAAACTGACCATGATGCAGAAAGTTGGAAGAAATAAATAAATGATTGGTATTTAGACTTCACTACCTTCTGAAGAAAAATGGCTGCAGATGGGTTTCTATATACGAAAACACAAAATGCAGAGAATCTACAATTAGAGCATATAATTCTGCTTTAAGAAACTCAGTTTATATTGGGAAAAAAATGCAATATGCATTGATTTATTTTACATTTATCTTATCAAATGAGAGATAACTACAAATGTTTATTTTTCATGTAGTAAGAGACAAATATTTATTTAACTTTACAACAAATATTCAGTAAAGGAGTATTTTAATAGCATATTTTCATATTATAATCTTGGCTCATGTTCCTAAGAAGGCCCCACATGAAAAGAAATAAAACATAAAAGATATGTAAAGAATTGTTCTCCTATTAGTTTGAAATAAATGCTGAAATACGTCTGTGAATCCTCTGGCAGAAGGTAGCCATACTAAAGATAAAATATATACATAAGATAATACATAGTAATTATTTTGTCAATTGATTTATTATTTATCAATGAATGGTAAAAAAAAATTGGTAAGTATACTCTTACTAGATTTTTCCAATGTAGCTGTAGATCACTGTATGAATGAAATGGAGAATCAGGTGGAATTAAATGACTGATACTCATTATCTGACCCATTTTCATACTGGCAGAGATACAAAAAAAATATTAGAAAATTAGTATTAAGCGGTAGAAAGTATAATTATGTAACAGATATTTTAAACTAGGTTTGAAAAATGTGGACTTCTATTACCCTAAAATAAGCTAAGAAATAGAATTTGACACATTTTATATCTTATTTAATGCAATATAGTCATAAGGAGGAAAAGTAGACACAGAATAAAATATATAGAAATAGAAAGCTGTAAATTTAAAATATATATATATATATATTTATATATAAAATTATATATATATAATTTTAAATTTACAGCTTTCTAAATTATATATATATATATATATATATATATATATATATATATATATATATATATATATTCTCACGTTTTCGCGGGTGTTTGTATGTAGGTCTTTGGTTATTCGGGTCTTCTCCCACGTAAAATTGGAAGTGTCTTGGCGACGTTTCGACGAAGTCTCATTCGTCATCTTCAGGCTGGTGTTCTCGGCTTCGTGCTGCTCCTGGAAGCACAAAGCCGAGAACACCAGCCTGAAGATGACGAATGAGACTTCGTCGAAACGTCGCCAAGACACTTCCAATTTTACGTGGGAGAAGATCCGAATAACCAAAGACCTACATACATACACACACACACACACACACACACACACACACACACATATATAATAAATAAATAAATAAAACTATATATATAGTTTAATTTATTATAAATCAGCATTTAGCATCTGAAAAGAGTAGACACATCTGGATTTAAACAATCCAAAAGCCTAAAACAAAAGTTAAAAGGAACACCAAGTTCTATGAACAGTTGCGCATCATAATTACTGGTACTAGACTACTGCAAATATGCAGGCTGATTAAGAGTTATGAGATACAGGATTGAGACTGCTTGCCTGGAAAATTCCATAAAAGAGGAATGATCTATAATTCAAATATGTCTATAAAGACATATCATAAAATAACAAAGTGACTATTTCCACTTCACCAATCCACTAAAGCAGAAACGTGGCTCAAGTGATATACAAACATCTGTCCCTCATTAGTATTACACATAGAACTAATGAAAAAGTCATTTTGTAATAAGATATTGGAAATGAAGTTGGTAGAGGCAAGGCTGTTAAAAACCAAACCTGCATATAGATGACTGGAACCCCTTTGTAATTCCCAAATATGTTGCTTGACTATTGTTCTGGCATTTTTAAAATCCAAAGAAATAAACCATACAACTGATTTTTTTTCTGTAGGGTAGTCTTGCTCACAGATGTGAACTTGTCATTTAGAATTAAGTGTAAAGAACTAAAGATTATACTGAGTTTTCAAAAATGCCTGTTCAAATTTAAAGAAGATATTTGCTTTGTTATGTTACTACTCAAAGTAGTTTGTTTTTGAATTTGTATTAAAAAAAATAGTCTAAATATTCATAAAATTCTGAGAATGAAAAACTTTTCTCAGTGACTCCTATCACTAATATTTTTACTGCAATAAAAAATATATTGGAGGAAAAGTTTTGTTCATCTTAATACAATTCCTTGTAAAATATGAAAAACATACCTTGGTAAAACATAACACCAATTACTTAAAATAGAATATTCTGAAATGACTGCAGTAGTATCATTGTTAAAGTTCTTTATGATGTTTGTTGAAATATCAAAATCTTCAAGCTAAAATAGAAAAAAATCAATACAGCAATTTTTGAAAGCTTAAGTATAAAACTATAAAACAGAAAGTAATGTATTTTAAAATAATATTGCACAAAAGCTTTCATTAAAAGCTTTAGTTATTACAATACATTTGTACTGAAATTACATTTTAATAACTAAATCCCTTCATAAAAATAATGCTTTAAAATTAAGGGATGCCTAATTGTTTAATATAAAGTAGTCATTTAAATACTTTCAGACTTTGAAATTATTCTCAGTATGGATCTGTGATTTACAATTTACTGCAACAATATGCTTATTAAAATAAATTACAGCATTAAAAAATGCATGTTTTTAAATTTAACTACCCGTTTTCTTTCTAATGAGTTAAAAAATAACCAGTAAACCTTGATTGTGGTCATCATCAGAAATACCCCTATAGATTGTGTTGTTGGTTTTTTCTTTTCTTTTCTTTTTCTTTTTTGGTCCCTTCAAGTCAGTGTTGACTCTTGGAATATGCCTGGATTAGTCCCTGCAGTTTTTGTGGCAAGATTTCATGCCTGTTTACATGACTGAGGGTGAGTTACTAACCCAAGGTCATCCAGCTGGCTTTGGGCTTAAGGTAAGACTAGAACTCACACACTCCTGATTTTACATCTAATTAACTCTCTCAATACCTGAATACCCTTATTTTAAAATTTCAGTGATATATCAGAAACCACCAATACAACTCTTCAGTAAGATGAAAATTATGCCTGATAATTTTTGTATGCATTTAAGAGACGTGATGATATATTAAAAATACTTGTTTTCTTGGCAAATATTCACCCAATAATGTAATTATTAAAGAGAAATGTAAATATATATATATTCTTTAAACCACAAGAAAAAATATAATTTGGAGAAAAGAGGAGAGACAGAAATTAAAAAATGAGATGAATTGCTTAACAATTGTTGATTGTTCTTTTCTGTAAAAGAATCTTAAGTAGCCCTAGATACACAAGCACAATGAAGCCCCATAAAGTGCAAATGTAAAAAGTTACATTATTTCTGTACCTCAGGTGGTGGTAAATATATCCTGCATATTTCCACACTGATGCAAAGTTGAGTTTCTGATACACTGATATCCACAACTGAAATAAAATTCATAACATTCAGTATGCAGCATTTTTATATATCCCTATTTCCCCCATAAGTGCATAAGACAAAAATTATACTGAATTCTAAAACAGGACTGACTAAGTGACTTAATGATCCATGTGTTTTGATAGATAAATTTATATGCCTAACAGTTGCTCAACTGATATCTGTACAATTGGCACAGAGGCCCTCCAAGGCTGTGTGCTCTCTCCACTCTATATACCAATGACTGCATCTCAAACGATCCATCTGTTAAACTACTGAAGTTCGTAGATGACACAACAGTGATCGGTCTCATTCACGACAATGATGAATCTGCATACAGACAGGAGGTTGAACAACTAGCCTCGTGGTGCAACCAGAACAATCTGGAACTGAACACACTCAAAACCATAGAAATGGTGGTAGACTTTAGGAGAAACACTCCCATACTACCACCTCTTACAATACTAGACAACACAGTATCAACAGTAGAGACCTTCAAATTTCTAGCTTCTACCATATTTCAAGATCTAAAATGGACATCTAACAACAAAAACGTCATCAAAAAAGCACAACAAAGAATGTTCTTTCTACGCCAACTCAGAAAGCTCAAACTGCCCAAGGAGCTGCTGATACAGTTCTACAGAGGAATTATTGAGTTTGTCATCTGCACCTCCATAACTGTCTGGTTTGGTTCTGCAACCCAACAAGACAGACACAGACTCCAGAGGATAATTAGAACTGCAGAAAAAACAGTTACTACCAACCTGCCTTCCATTGAGGACCTGTATACTGCACGAGTCAAAAAGAGGGTTGTGAAAATATTTACAGACTCCTCATATCCTGGATATAAACTGTTTCAACTCCTACCCTCAAAACGACACTAGAGAGCACTGCACACCAGAACAACTAGACACAAAGACAGTTTTTTCCCGAAAACCATCACTCTGCTAAACAAATAATTCCTTCAACACTGTCAAACTATTAAGTCTGCACTAATATTAATCTTCTCATCGTTCCCACCACCCATCTCCTTCTATTTATGACCGTATGACTGTAACCTTGTTGCTTGTATTCTTAGGGTTTATATTGACTCTTTCCTAATGATTTGATTGCTTATTTGTACCCTATGACTATCCTTAAGTGTTGTACCTTATGATTCTTGATGAATATATCTTTTCTTTTATGTACACTGAGAGCATATGCACCAAGACAAATTCCTTGTGTGTCCAATCACACTTGGCCAATAAAAAATTCTATTCTGTTCTGTTCTGTTCTATCCTGTCCTGTTCCATTCCTTTCCATTCCATTCTATCTCTGTAAGTTATATTTGATATACCATTGGTTTTCTTCATTTTTTTTTTTTAACCAAGGGCATGTATAAAATATATCTAAGGTAATTCCAGGTCTTTAAGAGTGAGAAAAATATTTATTCATAGTACACTTACCAACTGCATTTTGCTTTCCCATCTGTGACAAAAAATTTCTCCCTTAAAAATATGAAAGTGCTGTATTATAACTCACAATTAAAACTATACCAAAGCAATGTCTGATGAGGAAAATATGTTTATATTTTGTTATACATTGTTTATGTAGTGTTTGCTTCACAACATATACCTTATGTATTAAAGAGGAGTGTATTATTTGATAAATGGCCACAGGGAGAGAAGTATGATTGGCTCTGGGCAGTAGTTAACTCCACCTTGGGAGAGGGAATGGTCCCGTCAGTTCTTAAAAGAGGCTTAAAGATCCACCCCTATGGCCTCCATAACTAAAGCTTGGACTCAAAGTCTATTAACTAAGATGACATGCTCTGATCTTCTTGCATTCTGATCCAGGTTGTACGGCAAGGACCTAGAAGTTCTCTACTTGACTGGGCCTCCAATGTACTGGAGAAGGAGTCATGTCAGGTGGAAGCTTCTCATGAATGGCCATAAAAAATCATAGGGAAGATATAGGAACTAAGACAGTGGTCCAATTATCTGATGGTTCCTGGCAAAACAGCTGCCAGGAAAACTACATCACTGCTCCTGAACCTGCAAAACAACTACATCACTGCTCCTGAACCTGCTTTTTATAAACTCTAAATGTACCATCCTCAAATACATGTCATAACCTAGCTCAGCAATATTGAATCAGCTGAGGGATAATTAGGGATTTAGGTTGCAATTTCAAGAGGAAAGTGCAGATTTTAATAATATCCAAACATACTTGGGTTGACCATAATTACATACAAATAAATCAATATTATGTATTACTCACACATAAATATAAAATATTGTGCAAACTTTCAGTTTTGAGGAATTTTCAGATATTATAAAGAATTGGAGGTAGAAGTGGCTGATCTTGAAATTATACAGTCTACATCTGAAATATTTTCAGAAATGAAGAATCAGTTGAAGAATTTGCTTTCTATTTTATGATGCCTGAACTGAGTCATTACTATGCTAATAGAGATTTCAATTTTTTTGCAAAGCACAGGTAACCATTAACTTACAATTGGTTGTTTAGAACACACCCCAAAAGATACTTACAACCCAGATTTGAAGTTCTGATGGCCTCTGGTCAAGTGACCACATTTTGGGTGCTCAGGTGCTAATGGCCACATTTATGGCCATTAGCAGTGCCCCATGGATCCCATGATCATGATCCCATGATCATGATTTATGATGCTTTTGCTGGTGTTTACTTCTCATTTTTGGCAAAAAAAAAACATCCACAGGGAACAATACTTTCATTTAATAACTATGGTGTTCACTTAACGGTTGCCGCCATAAAGGACATAAAATTGGCATAGTCACTTGATAAACCACCATAATGACCATCATGCATAATTACAGGATCAATTACCATTGTAAATTGGGACTACCTGTAGTCAGATTTACTGAACAATATTGTAACAACTAAATCTAATAATAAATGTATGCATCATGCAGAAAATATCTAACACTATAAAAACATTTTCACTACTAGAGCTTCCAAATAATTACCTTGTATCAACAAGTGACCCGCTTGGTTCCAGTTAGGGGCAAGTTTGGCTCTAAGAGTATAAGAAAGGCAGACTTGAAAGATAGTTGGGGTAACTCTTTCCGGCATTCCTACCTAATAAATATACAAAGAAACAAAAACACATTGTATTGTATTTTCTCTTTGCAAACACTGACTCCTTATGAAATTGAATATTATTATTATGGAAAACCTTACATTTAATCAAATGTAATCCATCTAGCAGAGCAAAATGTATTCTCCAATGGTTAAGAGACAAACATAATAACCATGTTACTGCTCTTTGTTCAGTGAATAACCCTTACAGGATGGTTTAGTCTGATAGCATGCTAGTTGTTCCACTGAGACTGTAATTTGCATTCATGATTAATATGACAGGAATAGACTTAAGTTAGGGCTGCATTGGGAGCAAAGGCTAAATCCTCTCTTTCACTCTACTAGTCTCAATCAATATTATTCTCCTGTCATAGTAATTAAGCAAAAATGCACCTGTACTGACCTTCAGGCAGAGATTGTTCTAGTCTTACAACCTGCTTCACTGATTTTAATATATAGAATCTTTCTGAAAAAGGCATTTGCAAATCAGTTACTGTACAGATTGCTTATTTAGGTCCAACATAATGTACCTAATGTACTAATGATATGGTGATTGCAAATCAGGTACTGAATGGTACAAATGGTAGGAATTGTATGACTGTTCTTAAAAAGTATATAGATACACATATGAAGTAAAGTGTGCTAATTCATGGAAGATTGTTGGAACTTCACATCTATTTTATATTCTATCGATATATCTACAAAGTTTCTAGGCTGCCCTGGCAAGCCTGTAATAAGGCAAAATTACAACAATGGCAGCAATGCTATCACTGTAAAAGATACAGATAATATCTGATTATCAAGCCATAAAATGACCCACAAATGACTCATAAAATTTATGCAAACCAGTATAATCACTTATCTGTCAAGAAGATACATGAAATTAGAAAAATCATATGAAACAAGAAAGTGTGTTGTTCCACATTAGTTTGTAAACTACCTACATTCAGAATCAAATAAAAATAATTCAAACAATATCTAAAGTAACAACAAAGAAATGATTATAATGGAAATACTGAAAACTAAGGAAAGAAATATAATGCTGTTATTCATTTTCAATCATATAACTTACATATTTATAGAACAGCCTATTTATGTCTATTTTCCCTAAACCCATTTAGTAAAAATATTTACTATTCCATATTTCTAGGAACAAAGCCAAGTGTAAGAGTTACAGCTATTTGCTGTAACTCTAAAATCCAGAGATCCCATGATTACCGGTAGGTAGAACCAAAAGATCCATGAACAAAATAGATATGTAACATCAGTAAAATATCTGAACAATGGTGTTGTTGTTTTACTGCTGTATGCATATAGTATTACATTGTCAGTAAAGATACTGAAGAATTAGTTGAGAAGAAAATTAAAATCGTCGCTCCCTCTGTTCCTGCAGCCAAAATTAGGAACATTGTTGTGGCTAGCTGAACATGGAACACCATCCCCTCTCTCTCCACCCCCGACCCCACACCGGAAGCTATTCCATCTGATTCAGAACAAGCAAAAAAGAAAAGTGTTTAATAAATAATCTGAACTCACTCCAGTGTCTCAATATATTTTACAGAGAAATAAACAGCAGTTGCAGGCATTACAGCCAAAAGATTATTATCAAGCTATCTAACAGTTCATGCAAAACTGAATTCAGATTTAAATATATACCTTACGTTTAAAACAATTTGAGTTATACGCTAAGTAGCAATAGCAATAGCACTTAGACTTATATACTGCTTCATAGTGCTTTTACAGTCCTCTCTAAGTGGTTTACAGAGTCAGCATATTGCCTCCAACAATCTGGGTCCTCATTTTACGTAAAAGTAAAATTCATTTTAAGTAAAAAAACCTTTATTGCATTTTTAGCTAATTATCATCCTAATTTCTGATAGACAGAAGCAAGGCAGATATATCCAAAGGTAAAAAGGAGCTAGGGCACTTACATTAAAAAATGTTCAAACACGTATAGATACACAACACAAAACCTACACATGTACTTGTATATTAAAACACAAACTGAGACTGATTAACAAAACCACTGACCCAAGTATTTATCAGGAGGCAAAGGATATTCCTCTTAGTGCAAATAATTGGGATACTAGTGAATATCCTGAAGGTCACAGGCACTGTCATAAGAGGGCACTGCACCATTCAGCTTAATCTGGACATTGATCTAGCATTTTTTCCAAAAGAGCACTAAACCTTCATTCAGAAATAGCTTGATTTAGCGGTTACAGGCATGGAGGACAGGTATTGCAACATGCTAGATGATCCTCACAAGCTCTCTGTGTTACCTGCATCTTGTCACTATTTGTTGCATGTGCTAGATCCATGTTTTAAAAAATAGCCTAATTAACTGATCATAGGTGCAGAACATTTCAGCATCTGCAACTTGTCACTTGCAGATCTTGAAAGACAGCTAAATCTCACATTCCAGACATTTGTCTACACTTCTCCAGCTTGTCCCATCACATACTTGTTTTTCCTGTAGGCAGATAAGACTCAGTGGGAGGGAAAATAAAGCAAGAGAATCCATTAAATGTTTTTCATGGCTTGAGCTACAATAAAACTGATAAGAATGGCACCATTTCCCAGCCTTGCTATTTATGGAGAATAGAGCTCAACAATCAGGGTAGTACAATTTATGTCAGGCTACTTCTATGTAGATTCCATGACTGGAGGAATGAACATAAACAGAACATTAAAAAGTATAAAACCTAAAATATATAACAGTCTCATATGGTGACCATGATTTAGGGGCCATAGATGAACACAAAATACCACTTACCAGAAAGCAAACTGATGAAGTTGTTCCCCACTTCTTTTAGATTTTCAGGATGCTCTCTGCCATCTTAACTTACTTACAAGTAGTCCTGGAGTTATGACCATAATGGAACCTGCCCATTATGGCTATAAGTCATAATGGCCATATTTTACAACCTTTTTTATGGTAGTTGTTAAGTGACTGCTGTGGTCATGAAGCAAACCAATGGTTTGCTATGAAGCTAGTTTTGCCTAAAACAGGAAGTAACTGCTGGTTTCCGGCAAAACTGTAATAAAACATGGTTATGTGACGGAAGATGCTGCAAATGGTCATAAATGTAGCCCACTGCCCAAGTGTGGTCATGTGACTGTGGGGGGGGGGGCAACCATCGGAACTTTGAATCTGAGTCATAAGTAGCTCTCAAGTAGGTCTGTTGGATTGGAGAGAAAGGGATTACAAGAGAGTAAGCAATCACACAGTAGGAAATACACTGAGCTATTTGTACAGTTCACTCATGGCTCCCAGCCCAAAGTGCACTCTTTTCAAAGTGCTCTTTTCCTTCTTAAAAAAAATGATATACACATTTTCTACCACAATTGGAAGAAAAAATATATATTATTATTTCCTGATTGATCCATTAGGCTTTGACATCCTGCTCATTGACATATATTTTTATTCATGAAGCATAAAATTACCACTGAATTTATGTATGTCACCAAATTTACAGCAAAGCTATCTTGGTCAGCATATGGCCTAAGATATATTTTTTAGTTTATTGTAGATACTCTTGTACACAGATCAATCTGATTGCAAAGATAAGTAAAAGTTCTCTGCAAGGTTTGACTCAGTTATAAATGCTCAATAATATTTTTGCTAATTTGTCATTACAGCTTATTAGCATGGCTTAAAAAGAAAGGTCCACTTTGATCCTATAGTTCAGGATTGGATAATTCAAGGCCATGAACCATGTAATATCTCTAGCACCCCATTTCCAACCCTCTCTTCCCCAAAATTGCAGTACCAAAATTACCAGCATACCTGCAATGGCCAATTTTCAGGAACACAATTTCAGACCATCTTTAAATGCTTAGGTAATTAATTTAAGGATAAGAATCGTAGTGTTTTCCAGAGGCACCCCCACTCCCTTTTAATTGTTATTCCTTCTCTCAAAGGCATAACATCTTTGGTGAAGCTTACAGTGACATAATTACATTACAAGATTATTTCTATGGTTCTACGGTAGGTTGGGAGGCTAACTTAGAATCCCTGCACATCAGATCTGCCACCACTTATATCTACTTTCCATAATTTGGTCAGCTTCCAAATATTTGGATTTCATTCCTACAATTGTCCAGTTAGCATGTCAATTGCTAAGAAATCTGGGAGATGAAGTTCATACAGAAAGTATTGCCAAGTTTGTGGAAGAATATTTTATAAATAATATATCATCAGTAGAGTGTATGAATTGTACTGAATTTAAATATCTAAAACTCAGATACAATAAACAAGCATTCTGTTTTTTCATATTTTAGTAAATAAAATGTAATTTTCCAACAGTCTGTAACAATATACACACATCTTGTATGCAGAAAAACAACCAGAAAAAATAATGTTCGTCACTTACTGTAGCTCCATGTTTATCTATATAAGCTTGAAATGTTCCTGATTTGTAAAAGGATATCTAAAACAAGCAAAAAATAAGTTACAGTATATATTTCTTTTTTAAACTCTTTTTTGTATTTACCTGTTCTTTGAATAAATCCTTCTGAAACATGAATCCTTTGGGAAATACAACTTAATTTTTTTGAACAGCAAATGAACAGCAAAAAGGCGATTAAAACTTTGATTTTAGAAAGTTACAAACAGTTAAGGGTACAAATAAATTTTAAATAAGATTTTGGAATTAATTATAAAAATTCTTCCCATAGGAAAATGTTTTTGTTTTGATTTTTTAAAAACGTAAGATTTAAACAATTGGACTCTAGAGGGAGCCAAAGATTACAATTAAAAGACAACACAAACTCGACCAATAATTACAGAATGATGCAAAATATTCTAACATTGGACATAATGAAGGATATTTTTGAAAAATGGATTCTGGTGTTAATATTAACAGTGATATCTGCCTGCCTGAAACTTTATGTCTAAAATATGTTATGGAGGAAGAACACGTTTGGTTTTACAAAATAGTTCGTTAAAGTTTCGAAGAAACTCATGAGAAGGAACAAAGAAAAAATGAAAAGATATCTAGTTCTACATTATTTGAATGGACACAGACTAATATGGTTAGAAGAAATGGAAGCAATATAAAGTTGGTTTATCTGATCAAAGTTAAAATAGATGTTATTTTTTTCTGCTAACCCTTAATAGACTTTTTCTGGCATCAAGACTGAAATAACAATGCTTTATGGATTTAAAGAGATGGAATATGCAAAGAAAGAGATGGAATATGGGATGAAAAGCTCATCTTGTATTTTAAGAGGAGGTGATAAGGTGCTACAATTGTTTCTACTTATTGTGAGAATAGATGAATAGTCACTTCTTTATATATTTATTTTATTTTATTTATTTATTTTATTTATTAATTTAATTTGTATACCGCCCTTCTCCCCGAAGGGACTCAGGGCAGCGAACAGCCAAAATTAAAAAACATACAAATACAAAAGTTAAGATAATTAAAAAGAATTAAATCATTGGCTTCCCAATTTAAAACCCGCAAGTCCATAAAATTTAAAATCCCAATTAAGAGTCATTTAGGCTAGGCCGGGTTGGTGGAATAAATAAGTCTTCAGGGCCTTACGGAAGGTACGGAGGTCCGGGATCAGCCGTATTCCAGGAGGCAACTCGTTCCACAGGGCGGGTGCCCCCACAGAGAAGGCTCTCCCCCTGGGGGCCGTCAGCCGACATTGCCTGACCGACGGCACTCTGAGGAGGCCCTCTCTGTGAGAGCGTATTGGCCGATGGGAGGTTATCGGTAGCAGCAGGCGGTCTCGCAAATATCCTGGCCCTAAGCCATGGAGCACTTTAAAGATGAGAACCAATACCTTAAAGCGCACCCGGAAGACCACCGGGAGCCAATGCAGCTCACGCAGGAGAGATGTTACATGGGAGCGCCACGTCACTCCCATAATCACCTGCGCGGCCGCATTCTGCACCATCTGGAGCCTCCGGGTGCTCCTCAAGGGAAGCCCCATGTAGAGAGTGTTGCAGTAGTCTAGGCGTGACGTGATGAGGGCATGAGTGACCGTGCACAAGGAGTCCCGATCCAGAAAGGGGCGTAACTGACATATCAGGCGGACCTGATAAAAAGCCCCCCTGGCCACGGTCGTCATATGCTCTTCTAAAGACAGCTGTGTGTCCAGGAGGACACCCAAGTTGCGAGCCCCCTCTGTGGGGGTCAGTGACTCGCCCCCAATAGCCAGCGATGGCACCAGCTGGCTATATCGGGACGCCGGTATCCACAGCCACTCGGTCTTGGAAGGGTTGAGTCGAAGCCTGTTCCTCCCCATCCAGACCCGCACGGCCTCAAGACACTGGAACATCACTTCGAGGGCATCATTGGGGTGGTCTGGGGTGGAGATGTACAGCTGAGTGTCATCAGCGTACAAATGGCATCGCACCCCAAAACCACGGATGATCTCACCTAGCGGCTTCACATAAACGTTGAACAGGAGCAGCGAGAGGACCGACCCTTGCGGCACCCTGCAAGCAAGGCACCTCGAGGTCGACCTCTGCCCCCTGCCAACACGGATTGCAACCGGTCAGAGACATAGGAGGAGAACCACTGCAACACGGTGCCTCCCACCCCCAATCCCCCCAGCCGGCGCAGCATGATACCATGATCGATGGTATCAAAAGCCGCTGAGAGGTCTAACAGGACCAGAACAGAGGAACAACCCCTGTCCCGAGCCCTCCAGAGATCATCCACCAATGCGACCAATGCCGTCTCCGTGCTGTACCCAGGCCTGAAGCCGGACTGGCACGGATCTAGATAGACGGTTTCATCCAGGTACTGTGGGAGCTGTCGCACAACCACACTCTCCACAACCTTCACAACGAAGCGAAGGTTGGAGACTGGACGGTAGTTTGCCATAACAGCCGGGTCCAGAGAAGGCTTCTTGAGGAGGGGCCTCACCATCGCCTCTTTCAAGGCGGGAGGCAAGAAACCCTCTCTCAAAGAAGCATTTATAATCCTCTGGAGCCAGCCTTGTGTTACCTCCCGGGTGGGTAACACGAGGGGTCCTTTACTATATTCTTCTTTTCCTTTTCTCTTTCTCTTTTTTCCTTTCTTTTTTGCATCTTCTGCTTTTTTTTCTTTTTTTCAAGTTTGTATTAATTTTTAACTGTATAATCTTATAAAGTATAGTAACTACAGTACTATTAAGATTATACCGGTAATCTTAATATAATTACTATAGAAAGAACATTGCAATTTTCAAATAAAATCAAACCTAACATTAGGTTTGGGATTATGAAATCAATCAGAAGCATTACCATTGGGTTTCATGACAAAGTTAGACATATTTCTTCCTTAACAGGAAGGAACCTGGTGGCTCAGCAGACTGAATAAACAAGACGGGCCTGATCGCTCAGCAGACTAAAAGCATTGTGATTAACACCAGCTGCCTGCAATTACTGTAAGTTTGAATCTCACCAGGCTCAAGGTTGACTCAGCCTTCCATCCTTTCTAAGGTAGGTAAAATGAGGACCCAGTTTGTGGGGGCAATAAGCTGACTTTGTATAAATATACAAAAGTATGAAGGCTATTGCTTAACGCATTGTAAGCCGCCCTGAATCTCCGGAGAAGGGCGGCATATAAATCAATTTTTTTTTAAAAAAAAAACATCTTAAATTGTAGGAATTGAGCAAAGTGTTCCTGCAGTCAGAATTTGGGCACTAAAACCAACATAAAAGCAATCTACCCAGTCATTTTGTTTACTTATGCATAACAAGATGAAATTCAGGAGACATCTAACACGCAAGGGAGAGGAAGACTGAAAGGGCAGATGAAGAACAAATATAGTATTGTTTGCTGTTGATGAATAAAGAGAAATAAAAGGCTGATCAGGGGTATTTTATAGTAGATAAAATATGTCAAGATCAATATTGTTATGTTCTTAGATCATTTTTATCATAAATTGAGGGTGTGAAATACCCAGTAGACTAAACGGGGAAAAATGCTTTTTGAACCAAAGCACTCTATGTGAGAGATGTGTGAGTATGTGAAAACTTACTATTGACTAACTATAAATTTTAAACTGCATAAACTGACACTCTTTCTATTATTTTTAATTAGTAACATTAAGTATTTCTGACCGTCATAATAACTGAAATTTGATTCAGTGTTCCAGGAACAGGTGAAGAAATGATACTTTGACACAGCAGCAGGAGTTGCCTATGTAAAATATTAAAAGTTTGTCACTAATCTTAATAATTTTATACTTTTTAATTAAGATTTGTATATTTACAGGATTTCTTTAAAACTTGCTAACAAATATTTTTTTCTTTGACAACAGAGGAAGATAATAAAAATAAACAGGTAATCATACAAACAGAAATATATTAAATTTACTGTTTACTAATTTATTATTAAACTAATTTAGCCTACCTCTTTTTCTTGACCCAACTAAGTTTGGAATGCTTCCAAAAGCATTAAAATCAATGGCCCTTGGCCTCCCAAATTAATAATCACAATGATAGCGTTCCAGCCCTCAAAGTTTTATCCCTGAAGGGAAAAAATCCTAACTGCTTTTAGCAGAGTTTTTTTAAAAAAAACTTTAACAGCTTAAACATCTTCTAATAATGAAAGCAAACATCATGAGACATAGAAAATAAGCAAAAAATAAAGAAAAACTTTGTTCCAATGAACTGTTACTCTGCTGTTCTCATTGTTCTACCATGTTCAACCTTCATATTCAATATTCAGCTTCTATAACAGGTCACACAGAAAAAGGAAAAGAAATAAAGTATTGCCACTTTCCAGTGTCTTTACTACAGTTGGCCATTTAACAGTTTACATAGTTCACTAAAATGATTTCTAATATAATGGCCTATCAGCCATCCCACAAATATAAAAATCCTGACATAGGATTGTATGTAAATTCTATTGGTCCAGTTCTAAAACAAATCATACCAGCAAACTAGTACCTTTATTACTGGTTCACAAATGTGAGTGCGCGCGCGCATGCACAGTAATTGCACATTACGTCCGGGCGGGTGGGCAGAGCCTATCACAGTCGCCGCTACTGTTCGCGCGATCTGGACAGAACCGGCTGAATCCCATCACTGATAAAAACTCCCCATACCACCCCTCCCCCCCTTTAACAAACACTTTATTGGCTTTGGTCTCACTCTATTTCAGTGCTTGTGTGAAAACCAGCTTTTCAAGGCTTCTCAGAACAGTTAAGGAAAACCTTTTGCACTTGGTTTGTCAAGTATTTGGCATATGCTTAACTTGACTCTGCTGGCTTCTCTCTCACACACATGTATCCCAAACAAAAGGGAAACATTTTTTAAAAATTTACCTTAATTAAAAACACGCCAATGATGTGTGGTACTATGTGTGGTACTATAAAGAAATGTCCAATAATTACAAACATTAAATACATTAAAACAAACTCATTTTCAGAGAGTCTAGACTCTAGAGGCTGCACAAGAGTACACCCCATTCTCATGTGGCCTCTGCAGCATCACCCCATGACAGAAAGGGGCACGCTTTCGAAAATAGTTGTTTTCAAGTGTTGGTGAATCTGGTGTGTCACCCAAACATTGTGGAATGTCACCTTTGACACGAGTCCTAGTTTCACCATCACTAGTCTGCCTGCCATCTGGTAGATGCCTGTCAGATTTCAGGAGGAAGGGTGTAATTAAGTCAGATTCTGTGCTGACAATGCTTTTAATCAAATATGGTAAACATAAGCAATGTGTCATCCTGTATTTAACAATTCTATTATGAATTTTACTTGCACATCTTCCATTGTTCTGTTCTAATTTCAGTTGCTGCCAGTTGAGAACTCAATGTAATCTTCACAGCATAAAGCTTCTGCAGGTCAGGCATACTGCTGAAGAACAGTGACTGACGTCTAACATCATTCATTTTGTTTTGCTAACCATGAGAAAGTAATCCAATCTGTAATATAAAAATGTGATTATAAAAAAGATGTAAAGATATGACACAATTCAAGCTATTAGAAAGTGATTTTTAATGTCATTGTCTTTGATATGGAAGTTGGATGTTTGAGTGTAGTACTTATCAATCTGAAACACGGTGTTATGCCTATATATCTGGAGCATACATATAATTGTATTTAAACTCGGAAGGTTATTTCAGATGAAATGAAAGAAAAATATCCCAAATGCTTCTTTCATTTCCTTCTCTCCATAATGACCCATCGGCATATAACACAGAAATGTAACTCTAATGTACAGTTTTCTTCATTTCTCTTATTTCCTAAATAAAACTATTCAAGATATTTTTCCAAATTGGCTGAGTCCTTGTAAAGATATTCTTATAGAGAATGTAAATAAATTATGGCATTTGGATGCATTCTCACTTGAATGTCACCATGAAATGTCACCATGAGAGCCTTGGTAGTACAGTGGTTTAAAGCACCCTGTTATTAAGAACAGCTGCCTGCAATTACTGCAGGTTCGAATCTCGCCAGGCTCAAGGTTGACTCAGCCTTCCATCCTTTCTAAGGTAGGTAAATTGAGGACCCAGTTTGTGGGGGCAATAAGCTGACTTTGTATAAAATATACAAAAGTATGAAGGCTATTGCTTAACGCATTGTAAGCTGCCCTGAGTCTCCGGAGAAGGGCGGCATATAAATCAAATTAAAATATATATATATATATATAATTATGAAGAATACTTCGTCACTGTAATTTTAATTGAGAATTTTAAATAAAATGAAAGTAAATGTAAATGTTCTATCTTCAATTAATCAATCAAACCAAATCAAAACCTGATCAAAACATACCTGTTATCTTATTCTATGCCTAAATTGGATCGTTTTAATAAATTCCATTAGTAGTTTAGTATATGACATTTTGAAATAATTTGCAAATGGCTCAAAGTATATTTTAACTATTCAGAAGCAAGTCGTATTCTTCAACTTATAAAGCTAGTACTAATGGTAACCCATTGACTTGGTTGTGGGAAGCCAGCAGGAGGTTGTCTTGCTTAATGACCATGGGATGTGGTTAACAATGGCAACTGAGCCTGCAGAGATTGCTGTTGCTAAGCAATGCCATCATACTTTATGACCGTGACACTAAGTGAAGGAAATTCCAATCTCAATTCCTGTTGTAAGTCGAGGTCTACCTGTCCTGTGTGGGTATAAGTAGTCTTCCCTTAACAATCACAATTGGTACTAGCAACGCCATCACATGCAACATGGTTGTTAAGTGAGAGATCATGTGAATATATCGGTTTTATGACATCAATCATAAAACTGATACATTGGTTTTATTAAGCATGATATGACTCCAAGTTGCAATTTTACTGCTGGCTTCTCCATTGACTACTTGTTGAAAGCCAGTTGTGAACATGCAAACGGTTGTAAATACCCCTAGGTGCTAGGAACAGAAAGACTGGTTTTTCAATCACAGAAATGCTTTAGAGCCTCTTAGGAAACAAAAGTCTTCAGGGTGTAACTGATTTAAGATCCTATAATTTCAGGCAGCAGTGCAATTGGTTGGAAAGTACTAATCATTTATTTAAGGTCACAAAGTTGAGTTTGTTAACTTGCCCAACACTTATTAGGGAAGTGCTGCACCAAGGGCAAAGGATGCTCAGGAAGAGATAGCAAGTTAGATATCCGAAAAGCTGGACAACATTTGATTATGCTATGCCTGCTGGATGGAGAACATGAGGACAAATTGCTTGAAGTTTGATAACCGTATTGGGAATGAGCAAGTATATAAGACCAAGTAATAAATAAAAATTTAAATAACTTATGTTGATGTTACTATATTTATGACTATCATTTTCAGTCATAACTTTTATCTGCAGATCTTACCACACAGATTTTAAAAACTGAAGCAAAGTTTGACTCTATTAAAATAATTATTTCATCTAAAAAGCTAAAATGACAGAATATGTAGAATGTCAGAAATAATCTTTGTTTCTGAGGTGTGAGAAAAAAACGTGATGAAAAGCACTCATTCTTTTTCTTCTCTCTTTTTAAATATGGTAACCTTAGAACTGCTACTTTAGAGTTGTTTTAACTTTTTTTTTTTTTGTCTTCAGGCCTAAACCTGACAGCCTGGGAAAATCTGAAAAACACAAACTAAACCACATAGCTTTTGCTTCTCTTCCTACAAGATAAACTGATAGCGTTTTCTTCCTTTGTTGACGAGAGGAAAACTAAGTAATTAATATTTGTTTTAATATGTCTGAGTCACCACAGGTATAATAGGAGGAGCCTCCTTCTGCTTTATATATTTTCTCACAGTCTTTAATTCTGAAAAAAAAGAGAGCAAATGATGTACTTTTGGGAACTTGTCACAAAAATATTTTCCACTAAGTAAGACATCAACTGCCTAAGTAGCCTAGTTTGACTGGAAGGACATGTTCTGCATGGAGTTTGTGAAATCCATTTAAAGACTATATCAAGTTGATGGATGAGTCACAACTGTCTGAAAGCCATGTTACGGTAAGAAAACTGCCACTGAAGAACAATCTCAATTAGGAATCGGAGAAGGTTATTGTGCCGTATCTCCAGCAGCTCCAAAAGCGCTGGGAAAAATATGTAGACAAGAAACAGGTTCTCTTAAAAAAAAAAAAACCGCGGGAAAATGTCGTGAGGCGAGAGAAAGGCTACGCCTGGGATGGCGCACAATGGAGGTGGGCAATAAAGGCAGAAGCATGAGTGAAAGACAAAGGCGCAGAGAAGGGGCAAACCACGCGAGGAAAGTCGTCGATTTGACTTTCTGACTAAAAAAAAAAAAAAAAAGTGGGCTTCTCTCAGTTACAGATCTTAACTCTTCCCTTCTTTCTCCGCATTCCGTCTTTTTGTTTCCTTGCACTGCACGTTATGCCCCGAGGCGCTCAATAAGAGAGGAAAAGCACTCACGGATAGGAATGGTGATTTAGCAAAAGCGAATGTATAGCAGTGTATGTATGTATTTAGCAAAAGTATCTGTGGTGCAATTCAAAGCCACTGACTGACAGATGGGTAAGAAGTCAGCGCTGACTTGTAACGCAGCTATGGATTCGGCTGAGCTGCCGGTCCAAAGTCCAGCAGCACGTGACAACCTTCAGTCTTGCGGCAGCCTCGAGGCACGCCGGAGCTGGGGACAGAAAGCGGGATTAGGCAATCTTTTGCCTTCTGATTTGTACAGGGGAAAACGTCCCAGCCTTTTCAAAAAGTCTTAAATCTGATTCTGACATTATAGTAGATTACGTAATTTCTGTCGAACTGCTGGACGGGCAGTTTTAGTGCCACGTGGAAATAAATATAAAGCGCCTCCGTAAAACTCAAAACATTTTTTTTTAATTTCTGTAATCTCTGATCATACTGACTGATAGCTATTCAGAAGTTTATTTTGAACTTTATTCCCTGATAAAGATATTGTCCAACTGTAGAAGATTGGGTTTATTTTTTTTTCCTAAGAAATCGGAACAGTTATTTTTGATTTTCACATGTTTTCTTGGACATTCCACTAACTTTTCAGCTTGATCATAGTGGACTGCACTATCAGGATTTCAGAAAACTCTGTAGCACGTATGCAGTGGGGTAATTCTCGTTCAAAATTGTACGTGTGTGTCCTATGCAGTTCAAATAAAGGACTAAACAAAGTTAAGTATTTTGCAAATACATAACTACATGTGAGCAGACACTTTTAGCTCTGTTAATTGTGGGAAAATGTCACACATTTGTCCCCAAAAGTTTGAAACTGTAAACTCTCTGCTGTCCTACAATGAAGTTGCACTGAATTTACACCTCAGGTTTTATAAATGAGTTTTCTCATCCCATTTCATTCACCTAGCCTAGCCCATCAAAAAAGTGGGATTGGTACTGGAAACATTCAAAATACCCAGAGGAGCCAGATTTTCCATCTTTTTGCCTTTTATTTTTTTCTTATGCCAGAATGTTTTGTCTAATTTATTACTCATGAAAACTAAGTCTGTTATCTGAGAACTTCTTGCTTTAAAAAGTTGTATTTGAGAAGATATTAAACTCAAGTCATTGCCCTATTAGTCTTTCTGCTGTAATAGTTCATCCACATTTCAACATCACTACTTTCATTGCAATAAAGTATCAGGAAAATGCAGGTGAGTAATTAGGTTAAAGAAATTATAATTGGACCATGAAGACTCTTTCTCTGACCATAGTGAGATATTTGTCATATAAATGATGGTGTTGGAAAGCATCATGTGGTAAGCTATCCAGTCACTTGTTAACAAGATGGGAGTCATATAAATTTAATAAATAAATAAATATAGAGATAACAATAAAGTCTTTGTTTCTACGCCACCATGGGTGTTCAACTTAGACACAAAGTTTTAGTAATGTGTGAGAAAGGATCTGCTAGTTTAGAATAATACCACAAATTTACATCAATTTTGAACAGCCAAACTATACCCAACTTGAAATGACACAAAGAATCACACATCTCAACAAAAATTATTAAAGATCATCTTTTGTGGACAATGCAGCTGGCTTTGGATATACTTTAATATACCATAAATACTCATTGAACAATCAGTATTACATCAAACGTACAAATTTTTTTGCAACACTAGAAAACAATTTAGCAATGCCATTCGATAACAAATAAGCAGTTTGTTTGCCAGAGTCGAACTAATATCTGTAGTAGAATTTATCATTCGCATCCCCGTGTTCCGTTTTCTGTTTTATCTGTCCTGCCTTTTCACGATTTTATCTCTATATTACTTTCGTCAATTGCTCCTCCCCTCCCCTTCTGGCGTAAGAAAGCAAGAGTTTCTTGGAATTTCAGAGGGTTGCTTCAGAAAACCAACCCAGCAGCAGCCAGTCAACCAATAAGAAGCCGACAAAGGTTATTTCCCCTTCCCCCCCCTTCTCCCCGCCCCTCGAGCAGAGGGTGGTGCGTGCAGTTAAAGGGTTGCTCACGTAAAGACTTTATCTGCGCTTGCGTGAGGTGAGAGGCTCATAGGTCACTGCGCAGTTCAGTTCCGCCGCTCTGGTTGCTGGCGCTGCAGCTGCTGCCGCTGCTTCGCGTGGAAGTCTGAGTTTCCATTGCAAAAGGAGAAAAGGGGACCGAACCAAGCGGCGATGACGAAGTCCAGCGGCGACAAGTCCGAGAAAGAACCGTGGCGGGGTTGCTATTACACGCTCGAGGAAGTCCAGAAACACAATCATAGCCAGAGTACTTGGATTATTATACACCGTCGCATATACGATCTCTCAAAGTTTTTAGAAGAAGTGAGTATATAGAGCTGGAAAATGAGAAGGGATTAGGAGAGAGGATTACTGGCCGCTATTATGTGCTGCTAAAGTTGCAGGAAAGAATTAACGGTGGAACTGATTAGGTTTGGAAGGTTTCCAAGATTGCATGCTTACTGAAAAGTGGTGCTCCCTAAGAGTTGTGCTTTGCCTGTGCCAGGGGTTCAAACTGACATAACCTTTAGCTTCAGTTGGGAAGTTAGGAAACTGTTACATCAGTTTACTGGTGGCTGCTTTAAGTACAACAAGGTGCTTGCGTTGTAAAAAAAAAAAACAGTATTTTTAAAACAACGGATTATATTTATTTGAAATTAAAATTGGGTATTTGAGAAATAAAAGTGATAATTACAGAAAGAACCAGTTTGATATAATTTAGGAAAGCAAGATTGCTAAGGTTCTAGGATTTGCTATGATGAAACGAAATCCTTTGTTTGCTTCCATTAAGTAATGTACCTTTCACCTACCAGATCTTCATAGATAAATGGTTGAGCAATGTGTTTCTTGTAATGAGGAAAGATTAAGGACAAGTCATCATTTTGCAGTAATATGTGCATAGACAAGCATGCGATTTTTAATAATTATAGCAGAGAGATACTGGAAGATGGAGATTGGGAAAATGATAATTGATTATGAATCTAAAATGCATAAAAAACTCAGGCTGGACAAAACATACCATTTCTTCCCATGTTTGAGAGTAGATACAGCTATCAAGCTGTTTCATTCTGCTGAAATATATTTGCCTATGTGTGAATATCTGCAGGTATAACATGTAAATATTTCATTTTTGTTTATGCTACCTACCCAGCATAAATTACAAGGTTAAGTTATATCTGTTGGGTAAGTAGAGGAAATGAATATAGACTCGCTCCTCTGTTAACCTGGTGTGAACTATTGCATTGGTTAGATCTAAAACTTGTTTTATACTCTTTGCTCTATCAAATTGCAATACAAATATGCATGTTTAAAATATATAAGATTAAAAAGCCAGTGGCATTATACATGTTGCTTACCTAATAGTTAATACATAGAAACCTACACAGTTGCTAACATATTTCAAATCTAATCATAGCCAAATAGATTTCACAGTAGAGAAAAGATGATCTCATTTGCTTTTATCTTGGACTAGGTGTATATAACAGGACATCAAATTTTCAGATTTTCAATTCTTGTTGATAAGGTTTCTTAAAATTTTGGAACTTTTCAGTAGTTAAGTGTATTATATCTATGAAATATATTTCTAAAAATGCATTGAATTCTCTGGAAATGTGAAATAGTTTTGATACAAAAGAAGAAATAATTATTCCTAAAATAAATTTAAAAAATTCCCAAAGATAATATGTTGCCAAGTTGGGTTATCCAATAACAAGAAATACAAAGTATGCCTATATTTTCATTCAAGTAAATGGAACGATATTCTCAATTCTCTTTATCTTCTGGGCTGGGGGATGATAATATTAGTAGGTATTGTTACAAGGTAGCTTAGCTTGCGACATACTTATGGTGCCATTTCTCAGGGACTCTGCTGAGTTAAACAGAAATTGTGTTTATAGTTTATCTGGCTTGGGGAAAGAAGCATGGTTAGGGTATTTGGGGGTATCTTACGGTGTTTGAAGGGACACGGTGGCTCAGTGGCTAAGATGCTGAGCTTGTCGATCGAAAGGTCAGCAGTTCAAATCCCTAGTGCTGCGTAATGGGGTGAGCTCCCGTTACTTGTCCCAGCTTCGGCCAGCCTAGCAGTTAGAAAGCACGTAAAAAATGCAAGTAGAAAAATAGGGACCACCTTTGGTAGGAAGGTAACAGCGTTCCGTGTGCCTTTGGCGTTTAGTCATGCCGGCCACATGAACACTGAGATGTCTTCGGACAACGCTGGCTCTTCGACTTTGAAACAGAGATAAGCCCCCTAGAGTCAGGAACAACTAGCACATATGTGCGAGGGGAACCTTTACCTTATGGTGTTTGGGGGCCAGGCCAAACAAAATAGAAATAGAAATGCATGCTGAGATGGATCAATTTAATGGCATTGTTAAGAAAGAATGGAATAATCTTATTTCAAAGATCGCAGCGTTACATGATCATGTATTGTAAATCCACAGCTGCATATATCAGTTTGTATGGAATAATAGCAAGCTTATTACAGGTAGTCCTCAACAACAAGCCCAGAATTTATGTTGCTAAGTGAGACATTTGTTAAGTGAGTTTTGCCCCATTTTACGACCTTTCCACAGTTGTTAAGTGAATCATTGCAGTTAAGTTAGTAACACAGTTGTTAAATGAATCTGACTTTCCCCATTGACTTTGCTTGTCAGAAGATCCCAAAAGGTGACCCCAAAATGCTGCCACTGTCAAAAAGATATGAATCAGTTGCCAAGCATCTGAATTTTCATCATGTGTCCATGGGTATGCTTCAACGGTCATAAGTGTAAAAAACAGTCATAAGTCACTATTTTCAGTGCTGTTGTAACTTTAAACGGTCACTAAATGAAGTTGTAAATCGAGGACTACTTCTTTGCCAGACCTATGCTGTGAGCAATGCTAATATACTGAAAATCTTCCGAACAAATTCTAGGTACAATAGAATTATCAGCATCTTTGGAAACTGTTGGCATACCTATTTATGTGCAGATTTTAGATGATACAATCCATGTATAACTCAGTCCATTGGAGTTTTTTTGTTTAGATAGTTGCCAAAGAGAAATGTTTACCTTTGAAATCTCTGTTATTCCGTAGAAGGTATGTAGAGAAAAGGTTGGGACAAGCTGGGTGAATTTGAGGAAAATGTATACAGAACTGGATTGAACTGGATGCCATCTTGCTGGCTTTTAGATCCTGTCATACAATATAACAATATAACTTTGGCCTTTCAAAAAAATGTCAGTAATCGTGAGGAGTTTGCATTGGGCGGGCGGGCGGGAGCAGCTGCCAAAATGCAGTCTTTGAACCTGGTGTTTGCTTTTTTTCTGAACAAAATGTTAGAGTTGTCTTTCTAATCTTTCAAGGTTGGGGGAACTTCCAAATTCTTTCCAAGGCTGGGGAATTCTGGCAGTTGTCCTACATCTATTGAACCAGAGAAGGCTGGTTCAGATGGAGTCAGATAGATTCCAGGTTTCTTACTGCTTTTAACAACCAAGAAATAGTTTTTCTCTTGTCCCGACCTTATTGTACAACTCTCTTGTGTAGTACAGAATGAATGGATATCTCGTGTGTATTAATTTTGAAAACATAGTTTATCTAATGAAGAACAATATTTTGGTATCTTTATATGGAGTGAGTGATTTTGACTTCCAGAGCACCGCATGTAGAATATATTTTGAGTAAAGAAAATAATTGTATTTTTACTCTATGTGAGAATTTACATATGTGATTGTTTTTAATGACTTTTTTCCCATGGAACATATAGTTATACCTTAGATCTTACTAGATGTCTACTTTGCCTTGTTGGGATCAATGCATTGATAGTACAGTTTGGGAAAGCTGATATAATTAATCCTAAAGGAGGACAAAATTCTACTGTACACTTATTACCACTTGGATTTCTAAATTTAGCCCCAGCGATTTCCATCTAAAGCCTACTGAACTGAATGCCTAAATTAATCCTACTAACTTTTGATATTTCTGTACATTCAATGTACATGCTTATCTTTTACTTGTAGAACAAAATATTACATATTTGGATTCATTTTAGATCCATTAACAAGTGGATTTTTTCTATTAAAAAAAATCCCTGTGTAAGAAAATTGCATAGGGAGCAAATATGTCCTTAGTTTGTTTTCTCAGGCTTTTAATAAAATAAAATGTTTATTATTAATGCAGTAGTAGTGCTACAAAACAATGTAAAAATATTGAGCGTTTGGCATCTATGCTTCTTGGTTCTGAAGTGTTTAGGTAAATTCTGGATTCAGTTGGTTAAGAGTACATCTTAAAGCACGTGGGTTGGTTTTTTTTTTTTTAATCCTTAACACTGTTGCTCCATTTTCTGGAGTGTTTCATTATCAAAACTGATTCAAGGGCAGAATTTGCCTCTCATATTTGCATGTCAGTCTTGTGTAACTTCTTTGGATGCACTTCCTTAACCTTTTTTGAATTGGTGACCAGGCATAATCTTTAATCTGTGCACTTTTGCTTAGTCATTGTGCATAAGCATTCTATACTTTCTAACCTGAATGTTTTGTTTAGGGAAAAAAAATAACCTTTGAAAATTCACATAGTTTAATTACTGTTAGCAACACAATTTTTTAAAAAAGATTTTATCGAATATTTTATTTGTCGAATTTATGAAACTGCCCATCTCGCCAAAAGTGACCCTGGGCAGCATACAACAAAACTAAATCAGTAAATAAATCCATAAAACTAGTTATTAATTATAAATAGCATTAAAAAGCTCTTAAGAACAGAACAAAAACAATGTACGTTGTTGTTATGGATTTGAGGTACTGTTAATTCTTTGACCAGAACAGTTCTAAACTACCTATTTATGTTGGGAGACTATCTATACTTGAAAGTTGGATTAGAGCAATGTTCAGAATCGAATAGTTTCCCGATAGACAAAGATTGCACTTAACATTGGAGAGAGCAATGCAGGTGGGATTTCATGAGCAATGAGATTTTTAACACTGATATATGCCTATACAAAGGTCTTGTGCTACAGTTTGTTAGTTTGTTTTTCACATTTATGAACCACCCATCTCCCTCAAAGAGTTCTCATCTGTATCCCACCTTCGATTGCACAGTCCTAGATCGACATTGGTGAGATCTCATATGGCTTTGCTTATGACAGCTATCCTCCTGATATGTCGTCCTGCATTTTCCATCATTATGGCCATTGTTCGTGCAGGCTCAGTTTCATTGGAGCAGAAGGAAGGCTCTCAGGTAAACAATATATTCTAGGAATTGTCCTCTAGATGCGTCTTATGATCTAGAAAAATACAATGCAACAGACATCACTAGGCAGGGACAGTCCCATTAGAAACCTGGCCCCAGACCATGAAGGGCTTAAATTGCAGTCTGGAGAATTCAGATGCAGAGGTGCAGAGTAGAGGTGTCACCTAAAACTATCCTCCCGCTGCATTTTGCACCAGCTGAAGCTTCCAAATACTCTTCAAGGGCAGCTTCATTTGGAGCACATTGTAGTAATCCAGTTGGAAAGTGATTTAAGGCACAAGTGACTGTGTTTAGAGCACAAAGCAAAGCTGGGCAAAGGCTTTAAACAGGAGCCATAAGTCCAGGAAGACTCCCAGATGATTCATAGGATCTGTCTGGGACAGTGCAACTCCACCTACAATAAGAGATGGAAGGTCCTCAGAAGAAGGGGATCCTGAAATCAGGTGCCATTTGGTTTCACTAGGGTTGAGCTGAAGCTGTTGTTCTCCATTTACACTGGTGCATAGGGCGCTTCTTGCTCCATTCAGGGCCTCTGTGTACCAACCAGGACCTATCTTTGTACTCTTTTTTTGGTAAAAGATGCCTGTTATGGAAAAATGGTGGGAATGATTTGGATCAGGCTGGGTCTAACAGCCAGTGGGATTTGGTTAATGACAGCAATGGGAACTGCTGGGATTTTGGTCAGTAAGTGATGTAGTTACATGTCATTGTCCTTTATAACTGTATTGTTTAGTACTGAAATTCTAATCTGAATTATTATTAATTGAGGATTACCAGTAGGTGAAAATCCATGCTATGCAGTTGGCTGGTTTTTCCATAAAGAAATGGGACTTTGTTCCAAGAAGCTTCTGTAATGCTAGTATAGAAAAACAACAAGCAAGCCAGCTGTTGAAATTAGACTATGATGGAATGTGGAGATCGTGTATTGGTTATAATTTTGAGTTGTCTTTCACTCATTTGGCTTAATTTCCTATTCTTCACACAGTTTAATATATTTTTTTGCCTTGCTCTTTTGACTTTGTAGCTGGGTTACTGTTGGTTGTCGATAACTCTGCCCTAAGAAACTAATTCTTAACTCTTACATACAGCAACAACTCAAATATATTTGTCTTTATATAAAATAGGAACATAATTCCTACCCTGAGCTAATGGCTGCCCATTTATACTGCAGATATACATTTGCTGAGGTTGTTGTTTTTTTTCTGTTGAGCTGTTTATGAACATGTAATTTTGATTTCCTCCCAGGAATATTGTTATCAGCAAATGCATTTTTGATGAATGCTAGAAACAGACAGTGGATCATACTGTGAGAGTTGCTTAAGAATTTCTCTGTGAATATTTTAACTACATTTTATTTTATCTATTATTTTACTTACACTTTATATCGGGCTGACTTTGAAGACCCATCTGGAAAATACTGTTGACCCACAATGTAACATCTATTTGTTTGCTGGTACAAGTCAGCTTGAGTATGTGAATTCTGTACTCTGGATCCCACTTCTTCATATGCTTCCAAATACTCAACAGTTCAACATGTTAGTTTTAACATTTAAACTCTATGGGGCTTGATACTGAGATACTTGCAGGATGATCTTTAAGTAAATTTTGGAGCCAGCTAGCTAATATGCAATAGGAAAGATCTGTTAATGAGAGATTGCTAATTTACTTCTCTCTGAAATAAAGGAGAGAGAAGCACACAAACTGTTTTTCTATTGCTTTGTCCCTGCTCTAGAATTACTTCACCCTGAAATTTTTATCACCTTCCACATTGCTAATTTTCTGCAAGTTATTAAAAACAGAATTATTCAATAGAGCACTAGGAATATGAAGCATTGTGATTGATTTTATTTGTTTTGTAATTGCTTATGTATTAACTGCTGTCTGCTTATCTTCATTTTATCTTTGTATTATGGAGGTTTTATTATGTTGCCTTATCTTGTTATTGCTATTTTTATTTATTGGACTGCGGAGATTTTATTCTGTTGTTTATGGATGAATTGCAAACCACCAAGTTTGTCCTTAATTGCAGTGGACATAAATTGAATGAATAAATCTGGAGACTAAATAATGGCTTGATTAAACGGGCATTTAACTTTATTTAATTATAGGGGTTATAATACTGTGGTATTGAACTATGAAAAAAGATCAAAGTTGATTAGTGAACAGGAAAAAATGAACTTTATTTTCACATCGTACATTAAAAATACTAGAATGCTATAAATTATGCTCAAAATAGATCAGTTTTCCTAGTGTAAGTTACAGTAATGCTTATTGATTCTAAAGTATATATAGATTGAAGCCTTCATGCATTCTTCTATTTAACAGCATCCTTCATGCATTCTTCTATTTAACAGCATCCTGGTGGAGAAGAAGTGCTAAGGGAACAAGCAGGCGGAGATGCAACAGAAAGTTTTGAAGATGTTGGACATTCTACAGATGCCCGGACATTGTCAGAAACGTTTATTATAGGGGAGCTTCATCCAGTAAGTACAAAAAGCAGGGATATTCATGTTCTTATACAGGTAGTCCTCGACTTACAATAGTTCATTTAGTCACTGTTCAAATTTACAGCATCACTGAAAAAAGCGACATGACCATTTTTCAGATTTACAACTGTTACATGATCACGTGATCAAAATTCGGACACTTGGCACCTGATTCAAAGGTATGATAGTTACAGTGCCCTGGGGTCATGCGATCACCTTTTGCAACCATCTGACAAGCAAAGTCAATGGGGAGGCCAGATCCACTTTACAACCATGTTACTAACTTAACAATTGCAGGGATTCACTGAACAACCGTGGCAAAAAAAAGATTGTAATCACTTAAGAACTGTATCGCTTAGCAACAGTAATTTTGGGCTCCATTGTCATAAGTCGAGGACTACCTGTAGTTTTCATATTTTAATAAAAGTTATTAGGTTAGAATTGTTGAAAACATTCTTCTGTAACCCAGATTCCTCCAGATATTTTTGTATTACCCAGTCACTGTATAGCCTGTGATCAGGAATTTCAATAATTGTTCAAAGTATTTTGTAGGATGCAAAAAGTGGCACCATTGGATAATTCATTTAACTAAAGTGCAATAATTGAACTATTATATTTTATAATATATTTCTATATCGTACTTTTACAATTCAAAATATATTAGGAAATATTATAAATTTAAATAACAGAGCAACCTGATACAGGAAAGAAAAAAGGGACATTATTAATGAGCAACGTCTTCCTATTGCTAATGGTATATTAGGTTTATTAATCCTTTTGTTCAATACTGTGGTCTGTTTATTTCAAAATTGCAGGGCTCCCCCATGAAAATGTAAATAAAATTCTGAATTAACATATGTAAAACTGATGTATATTTTGATTTCTCACTCTACATTCTTTGTAAATGGGCTCACCTGCTGATTAATGGTTATCTCTGGAAAAGTACAGCTTTGGTATATATACACAGCCCTTGCCGGATTCTGTACAAGAATTAATGTTAACAGCCTCTATTAAAATGATATCTCAGAACTTTACCTTCCAAAATATCTGTTCCTGCTGCTTTGGCCATTACAAAGGCAGTAGAAAATCTGTGTAAAACTTGTATTTCACCATGATTTTGTACATGTTAATTCTTTTAATACCACCTTGCAAATCATTCTGTCATTGCTGTGATTCAAGATGTGCTATATTATGTTCAATGCTGTGCTGTAAACACTTGTCTAATTTTTTTAAAGGAAAGATAATGATTTATCTCTTGAAGAGGTAACAAAGAGTGATTCATGAATGGATTAGATATATATTTCTAACAAAATAAAATGTTTTTTTAAATCTTTCAGGATGATTGGGAAAAAGTTGAAAAACCAACGGTAAGCATTTCTCTTTCAAATTTCAAATCCCATTTCATCATAACATTTCATCATAACATTTTAAATAAACTATGGCTACATTTTCTTATAGGAATCCCAGATTTTGGGGAGGTTGACAGAACTGTAGTTTTTATTTATCTCCAGCCCAGTCAAATATTTTCTAATGCAATATCTCTTTATCTCAAGTTTTTTTAGGGTTGGGGCAGGGGTGAAATCCAGCAGGTTCTGATAGGTTCTGGAGAACCGATAGCGGAAATTTTGAGTAGTTCAGAGAACTGGCAAATACCACCTCTGGCTGGCCCCAAAGTGGGGTGGGAATGGAGACTTTGCAGTATCCTTCCCCTACCACACCCACCAAGCCATGCCCACAGAACCGGTAGTAAAAAAATTTGGATTTCACCACTGGGTTGGGGTGGGGGTGGAATGTACATATTTTGGTTTGAAATTTGAGATTGCAAACCAAAATATGGTAATATTGGGCAAGATCAAATTATTAATGTACACATTCCTCAATTTTCAGCAATAAAGTGGTCATCACCAGACTACTGAATAGTCTCCAAGATGTATATAGAGAAAAAAAATCAGTTTTATTATCTACATTTTAGGAGAAAAAATGGGTGGTTGGTGGGTTCCTTGTGAATGCTTAAACTTTGTAATAAAACTTGGATAATTGATCTTTATTGGCAAGCATTCTTTGTAGTGCCTCTACCAGCTTTTTCCATTCTGAAAGAAAATGGAATGCACATGTAGTACTTAATGTTAATCATTTATATAACTCAGCAGACAGTTTCATGTTTTTAGCAACCAGATTGAATGTTTGGAGAATTGTGTGACCAATTTCATGGGTCAAAATTACGGGTGTCAAACTTGATCGCATCACGTGATGTCATGTGATATCATGATATTTTTTGTCTTTGTGAAGCCAGGGTGGATGTGGCCTGTGCGTGACACATCCGGCCTTTGGGTCGCCAGTTTGACAGGTCTGGTCAAAATGCTCCATAAAAACGCAGTGTAATTCATACAATTAATATATTTGTGCGGAGTTTGGATCCCATTTAAAACACTCTAGAAGTCAGTGAATCAGAATTCTAACAATTCTAACTAACAAAGAAGCACCAATATTTAATTATATCTCAAAATAGGTAGGACAAGGTACAGTAGTAAAGCTGGGGTAATTCGAAGAATCCCAGCAGAAAAATTACCTCAGTCATTGTATGAGCTTTTTTTCTATTAAGAAGGAGAACTTAGAAATCATTTAAGGTCTGTAACTAAATGTCTTTGTCTTTCAGGGCCCTTATATTACCACTGTTGAGTCTAACATCAGGTACAATTTTTATTCAATTTGCAATTTGATAGTATTGTGTTCTAATATTTTTTATAATTCTGCACTAGTTCTATTAAGAATAGGTTGGGATAATAATGGGTGGGCAGAATTGCTTTTTGCTAACAGTTACTATAGCTGGGATTTGTCTATAATAATTTGTGTGTAATAATTTATCTTAATTTCTTAAGTATGAATGCTTTTATTATGTAAGCAAGTTAGTTCCCATAGCACATGGTTAATCTAGTATATATCATATATATATTTAGGTAAGAGGTATCATATTCGGAAAACTAGGAAGGATAGTTAAAGCTAGTATGCTTTAAGTATCCTTTATGGCTGCAGTCCAGGGATGAATATTGATCATTCCTCCTGAAGCTTTCACTAATCCTTTTAGAATCTCCTAAATATATTGGATATGTTTTGAGAGGTATACAGTTGTAAGAATACAAAGGAATTTATTGGGCTTATATCTTCCTGAACAGCTCAGATGTTAAATAGAAGACCTCTCTTAAGTCGGGTTATATCTAAGAATCCTTCTTTTAACTAAAAAAACAAACTATTATTTTGCATTTCATTTTCTCCCGTGATATAGTTCAACTCAAAAAGTCTGCCTTCTCTTAGGACAGTTTTTCTCAACCTTGGTAGCTTGAAGATGGGTGGACTTCAACTCCCAGAATCCCCCAGCCAGCAGCTGGGGATGTTTACTCAGTCATTGTTGTGTAAAGCATTTATTTTACCACCAAGCAGATTGGCTCACTGCTTGCCTAACCATGTGGTAACAAGTTAATTTATTCCTGTATTCAGAATTGCTTTATTGAAAATACAGGTAGTCCTTACTTAACTACTGCAACTGGGCCCATAATTTGGGTTGTAAGTCATTGCAGTCATTAAACAGGTCACTGTGTGATCTGTCTTGAAATCATGACGGTTTTATGATATTTGTAAAACAGGTCACTAGAGTCATTAAGTGATCAGGGGATTGATCATTAAGTAAATCCAGTTAAGCAAATCCAGCATCTCCGATGGGTGATTTTTGCCATTTTCTGCTGGAAAACAGGAAAAAGGAAAGTTGCAGATCACAACTTTCACATGACCTTGGGATTCTCCAGTCATAAAGTGAACTTTATGCCAAGCACTTGAAATGCGGGAGGGAGTGCGGCAGTTGTAACTTTGAAGGTCATAAGAAAATTGTTTCGAGCCTATTGTAACTTAAAATGGTCATTAAGCAACCAGTGGTTAAATGAGGACAACCTGTAAATGAATATATCTTCTGAAACATTTTGTCACTAATGGGTATAGTATGAAAATAATGTTTTGGGTTGTTGTTTTTTCCAGTTCATGGACCAACTGGGTGATTCCAGCAATAGCAGCTATCATTGTGGCCCTTATGTATCGCTTCTACATATCGGAGTAAACCCAGTAGTAAGGTGTAATAATGGGACACTCTGTTTTGGGCAAGAAAATGAAATATATACCTAGGGACGCCGCATCAGGACAGCATCTTAAAATCAACTTTAAAGAAGTGTATTCCTCTTTTTATCGGAAATTCAGAATTAAATTGTTTTAATACCATCCTACATAATGCTGCCTTTTTCTATTTTGTTTTCAAATACTAATATTTTTTTCTTTTATATCTTCATGTCTATCGTTTAATCGTATGATGCTAAAATGCTGCTCTTAAAATTAAGAACACTCACATAAGTCTTCAGTTTCTTACTATTTAAAATTTGTCTGATTCTTTTTAATGATTCTTCTTTAGGCTTCGTTTACAAAAATAAGTACATGGAAGATTGTGTCTGTGCAAATTTTCCCATCTTTGCCATCGCTTATGTTCTGATATATTTTCTTTGTTGTATAGCTGTATTATTTTTAAAGAGTTCTCAGTATGGGAAATGATAAACACTCAAAATAATTTCAATTTTGTTAATAAGGATATTGCTGTGGATCCAAATATTTCATTGTGTAAAATAAAATACTAATTATCCTTAAATGATTTGAGATAGGGAGGATTTATAATAGGCACAAAATTTTCAGTGGTCTTCATTGTTTATATAAGATCCATTGAACTTCATAAGAAACAAAGGAAAACAATGGCAGATAGAGGTATATGTGTTAAACAGTAGGTCATAGGGAACATTAATTGAGAGCAAATCTAGATCTAAATAACTTCATCTTAAAATGCTTATGTACTGTGCTGTATGGTTCTTGGCTGTATTACGGATCATTGATTTATTAAATTGTTGTACAGGTATGAAACAGCAGGATAGTGTCCCTTCAAAAACTTGTGCAAGAAATAAAACATTTTCTTGTGTCTGTATACAAAGAAAAAAAAAGTACCAATGATTCTATCTTATTTGTGTTGCCAGCAAGAAGTTTGGAAAGTCTGTTGTAAATTATCCTGGGTATGGATTTCAGTTACCTTCCTAAATATACTATGTCATTAGAGTTCATATATTTATGTAACTCATGATATATAAGATGTTCCTATAAGATTTGCCTGCCTTGCAGAATTCAGTAGCTAAAAGCAACTACCTAATTTCCAGCACCTATTCATGCTCCCTTGGTAAAATATTATAATTATATTACAAAAATATTGACACTTATCCTAGGCCCATTTCCCATTTGCTGCATGTTGACGGAGTTTAGCCCACATCCCTGAATTACTTTTCTCAATGGCTTCATGTAAGTGTTAAAGAGCATGGACAATAAAATGGATTCCTGAAGGACTCCATGGATTCCTGAAGGACACACCATGTCACTCAACCTCAATGAGACAGAAGAATACTCCCGAAGACCATGTTTTGGAAGTGGCCTTCCTAGTAGGAGTAGAATCACCATTCTACGGTATCCCCATAACCCAACATTGACACACTATCCAAGAGGTAACCATGGTTGATAGTATCAAAAAACTCTGGGAGATCCAGGTGGCCCAAAAGAGTCATATTCTCCCTACCTTTTTCCTGCTACAGGTTATCCCACGGGGTGACCAAGATGATTTCTATTCTATAAACATCCCTAAAACTGAATTAACATGGATCTAGAAAATCATTTTCATACAATAGAGCCTTGAATTGATCATTAGAATAGTTAATAATTAAACAAATATAAATGATATTAGGTTTTGAAAATGTCAAATGATTATATTGGTCTGTTCTTCTAAACGCTGGTAGAATTTGTTTGAAATAAGAGAGTTGGAAGGAACCTTGGAGGTCTTCTAGTCCAATCCCCTGCTCAAGCAAAAGATCCTATACCATTTCAGACAAATGGTTCTCTTAATCTCTCCTTAAAAATCTCCAGTAATGGAACACCACAACTTCTGAAAGCAAGCCGCTCCACTGTTTAATAGTTCTGTCAGGAAATTTCTCCTAATTTCTAGGTTGGTTCTCTCCTTGATTGGTTTCCATCCATTGCTTCTAGTCTTACCTTCAGGTACTTTGAAGAGGGTTGACCCCCTCTTCTTTGTGGCTGTCCCTTAGGTATTGGAACATTGCTATCATGTCACTCTAGTCCTCCTTTTCATTAAACTAGATATACCCAATTCCTGCAACCGTTCTTCATGTTTTAGCCTCCAGTCGCCTAATCATCTTGTTGCTCTTCTCTGCACTCTTTATAGAGTCTCAACATCTTTTATGAATGAAGGCAAATACATGTGTCCTAGGATAATGTTGCAGGATCCAATCTGGGTTGGTCACTGGGGCCAGAGGTTTAGTCTTCCTAGCTTTTGGACCCCTGCTGGAGCCCATCCTCTGGGAACGTCTCTACGGGAACCTTCATTTATCTGAAAGCTCAGAAGATTAAACCTATGATCCAGGTGACCAACCCAGATTGGATTCAACATCTTTTTATAACGTGGCAACCAAAACTGGATGCAATATTCCAAGTGTGATCTTACTAAGGCATTATAAAGTGATACTAACACTTCATGTGATCTTGATTCTATCCCTCTATTAATGTAGCCTAGGACTGCATTGGGTTTTTTGGTGGCTACAGCATACTCCTGACTCATGTTTAAGTGATTGTCCCTTGACACTAGGACAAATGAAAGTTATTAAAAGTTGTAAAAATGAGTAAAAATTAATACAAACTAAAATTGAGTAAGAAGGAAAAAAGGAATAAATAAATAAGAGAGAAAGCTAAAGTGCCAAAAGGAAAAAAAAAAGCTGGATGAAAACTAGAATATATATATAAAAAAAGAAATGGCTTCTGATCTTTGCAGTAGTTGTAAGTACAATTGTAGATTTCTTCCTTTCTCTAAAGTTTTATCATGATTCTTCTTTTTATAATCTGTCCTATCTAATTGTCAAAACCATAGAACATAAGTTCATTTTTTCCCTTTTTAATGCAAAAAGTCCATAAGGAGTTTCCAGTCATCAATATACATCTTTCCTCTAATCAAACAATTTGGCCATCTCAACAAGCTCTGTTATCTTCACCAACTACTCCTGTAATAAGCTTGCCAAATCTTTCCATCTTTCTCTATACAATAATCTTGCTTTAGTTATATATAAAAACAAAGTTCCATGAAATTGTATTTTAAAAAGCTTTAAGCAATATTAAAAATGTAATTCATGACAGCAGGGAATTGCTACTTTATTGTTCCGTATAATTCAATAACTGATATTTTAAATGTAAATGTTCTAAATATTTGAGTTTATAATGACTATAATTTGAATGAAAGTATCCATAAATTTGTTATCTTGGGCAACAAAAAGATATCTGGATTTTTTTAAATTGCAATTTGTAGGACTAAAAGTAAAACAAGTGAAGGAAGGAAAATGCTTTTCTGTAAAACTAGATTTAAATAATTGGATACTTTTCTTCTTTTAAAAGACACAAATACTTGGTTAATTTTAAGGTTTGATAATGCTATGAACTGACAACTTTTCAAATATTGTAATGTCATCATGTAATTTCATGATTGCTCTTGCTACTTACAGGTTACTTTTTCTTTCTGAAAATTAAAGGTGTTATTAATTCCAAGAATATGATTGCTAATGAGAGTCTGTATATGACTGTGGCAGGTTATAACTGATACTGTATATATAAAAAATAAATACAATTGCTGAAGTTGACCATACATATTGCTTTGCCATACCCAAATACATTTTAATATGCCAAATATATAAATGGATGACTAAACAAATTGATGTAGGAAGTTTTATTTGCTACTTTATATTCTATATTTCTGAAATAACTTGACAAAAAAGTTGAATACATAAAACGTAAGTCCATTAAACATACAGTAACGGGATAAAAACATTCCAATCAGAAACAAAGGCAACCCCTCTTTTGTCTATTTTCTTTGGGAGCTACAGACTGAACACATTTGAAGAGAATCAACTTGGAAAACACAACAGCATTTTTATTATAGCCATGAATAAGTTTCAGGTAAATTTTCAGCATTTGTTTTGTATGTATAGATCAATTCTTTCTTGCCTAAGGTATAATATTACTTGGATGTATGAATGTTTTCACAGTTCATTACCTCCTTTAAAAAAAAATGCAGCTGAAGAACTGGAATTTGGTTTTTCATACAGATGTTCTGCGTAATCTTGCATTTTGGGGGAAAAAAATCTTTGGTGATTGTTGTTTCTAGATGGTTAGGCCTTGGATTTTTGGATGCTCTTTATTAAAGCAAAGCAATATTAAGTTTTATTTTCCAAAATTTAAGAATGAGATGATGATAGAACAGAAGTGTGGCCCTTTAATTAATAGAGGTAGGCTCTAGTTCGCATTCAGACTGGAAAAGTATTGTGGAGCTCATCAAAATGTATACATAATGTGCAATACTTTAAAGCCATATGAAGCTTGAAAACATTTAATGATAACAGAATATGCAAAATCAAAAGCAGAAAGTTCTTTTTTTAGAACTTTCTAAAACTAGATAAACTTTTAACAATATTTGCAAATGTGCCTTGGCAATAATTGCAGAATTAAGATTATTCATCCTCTGGTGAAAAGAGAAACAGCCTGATAATAGTCTTAGACTGAAAAAGTGATTTTGCTTATTAAAAGAATACCATTAACTGAGAAATTGGTTTTTAAAAATCATAAGAGAAAGTACATTAACAATAAATTCATTTGTTGTTAAGAACATTTCTGTCCTACAAATGACTAGATGCTTGGACATTTGATGAGGAAGAAAATTGAATATCACCAGGCCCTAACTCAGTGGTTCTCAACCTTCCTAATGCCACGACCCTTTAATACAGTTCCTCATGTTGTGGTGACCCCCAACCATAAAATTATTCCTAAAACCATTGAAAATATGTGTTTTCCGATGGTCTTAGGCGACTCCTGTGAAAGGGTCGTTCGACCCCCAAAGGGGTCGCGACCCACAGGTTGAGAACCACTGCCCTAACTGGTTAGATTTGCTTGAATAAGATGCTTGCAGTACGATGCAGATCTAGGTAACCTGATGCCATCCTCATATTATGAAATACAACTCTCATAATTCCTTGTCACTGCTTGAGCAATTGAGACTGAAGAGAACTTGAGGCTAAAGCAGTGGGAGAACCTCAGATTGCCTAATTTTGCAAAGTGAAACTCTTAGTTCCAAATCTGATTCTGCAGTGCAAACAAGCAAAACACTTCAGCTTTTTTGGTGCCTACTTTTGTGGACCATATAGTGGATAGTCTTGCATTAATTAAACTCCACAGCAAAATACACTTGTCCTTCAAAACAGCAATTTCATAAACTGTTTGTTTCTACTAAAATCCTCTGCGTCATGTAAATTCATGATCAAGAACACAGTATCACAAGGTCAGGGTCAGAAAATTTGCAGCCTGATCCAAAAGTCTTATGACTAATCAAGCCGAAATACCAGCTAAGCTAAGCACTTATAAGAATACTTGTCAAAATTACAATGAAGCAATCAGCAGAGAAATTAAATGAATTAAATGTGGGAGTTTCTCAGTACGTTGGTCCAACATCAGCTTTGTGAATCTGAATTAAGATGACTGGAGTTGCAACCGTTTCAGAAGCTTCATTTTCAATCTAGAAAACCGAGGATTTTTTTTTTTCATTCCCTTGGTACTGGAATGGCAGCTAGTCAGTCTCTTAATGCCTTCCTTAAGAGAATAAATTTGAAATAATTTTACCTGGTGATAGTGTATATTAGAAGTCCTCTAGAATGTGTGAAAGCATGTTGTGATTTAAATAAAATGGTTGTCATATAGGGTCTTTGCCATTCTATGCCAACACCTTTTTACTAATGTTAGTAGTACAAAACGATGCCTTTCATTATAGTAGGCTTTTATGTAGGAAAAGAAAGAAGGGAGAGACAGGACGGAAATGGGACAGATGGGAAGAAAGGGATATTGTGTTCCAAGAATAACCAAGAAGAAAAACTGAGGTGAAATAGATGTCAACTCGCAAAGCATCCCTGGCCTGCTCTCGAGTTGCCATAGGCCAGGGGGGATGAAAAACTGGTGAAACGGCACGGCAACTAAAGACAGATGCACATTCCAGACGTATTTCTCTCAAGGCTGTATCCCAGGATTATCCACAGCGGCCGGAGGGGAGTGACCTATACAACCCACGAAATTGCTCGATTGGCAAATGTGATTGATGACACACCCTGGGGGGAGGGGGGAAACAGGGTCATGATTGGGGTGTAAATTACGTAGGGTCAGAGCTGGCTTCACTTGGGAACATGCCGACATGAAGCTCCAAATAAATAACTGGATTTCTTTTGAAGCTTGGCTCGAGGCTCATGATTTAATTAGGATATACATCAGAACCCTGACAATAGATCTACCTGGATGAGGAAGAAGGAGTTACACGTAGTCCTTGATTTAGGACCAGAATTGGAATTTCCATTGTTTGATTGTTAAGTGAGTCATGACCAATTTTACGTCTTTTTTGCTACTGCTAAGTGAATAATTGCATTGTTAAGCAAATATGCCCACACGCCCCCCTTGAACTTGCTGTGGGAAGGCCTCAAATTGTGATCATATGACCCCTGTGGTAAATATATGCCGGTTGCGAAGCGCCCAAATTTTGATCACATGACCATGAAGATGTTGCAACAGTCATAAGTGTAAGGACTGATCATAAGTCACTTTTTTCAGTGCTGATTTGACTTTGGTCTCTAAATGTTTGTTTATTGAGGATGTACTTCTAATGGAGGTATCCAGAGCTACGTATTGGAAAGGTTTTGTGTTTTGTGTTACTATCCCAGGCATTTTGTCTATGACTAGTTCTTGAAATTCAAGAGTGTTTACCAATCCCACTTCCCCAGCTGGGGACTTTTATCCATGCTCCTCCTCAGCCATATAATTGTATACTGAAGTTGGCATCATTTACCTATGTTTTCTCCTTACAAGAATCTTATGAAATAGGGTAGTCTGAGATAATGGTGGTTTATGATGCTAATGACTTCATAGGAGGAAAAGCATTTTTCTGCTCAAGAAGCATCTTTCCCTTTTTGGAGTATGTATGAGATACTTTCTCAGTAGTATCTATCAGACTTATTTTCCACACAACTACAACCTCTGAAGTGGGTTTGGCTGAAAGAGAGGGACTGGTTCAAAGTCACCACGGTGCAGTGGTGGGTTGCTCCCAGTTTGCACCGGTTCTATAGAACCAGTAGTAAAACCGGCGGGAGGCTCCGCCCACTGACTCTAACATCAATATGCTTCTGCGCATGCGCAGAGGAGCATGCACGCACACAAGCAAAGCGCACACGCGCAGCCCCGTTGCAAACCGGTAGTAAAGGTAAATAGAACCCATCCTTGCCATGGCACCTTTCATGGCTAAGCGGACATTTGAACTCCGGGTATCCTGCTTTCTAGCCTGGTGCCTTAACCTCTAGACCAAACTGGCTATCATATTTCCTGTCAGAACGGAATAAATCAGGTGTCAAGTTTCTGGGGAAAAAAAGCTTTCAAGTTGCCATCAGGGATGTCAAACTCGATTTCATTGAGGCTGCGTCAGGGTTGTGTTTGACCTCAGAGAGCCGAGAGTGGGTGGGGCACGGCTGGGGTGGCCATGTTAGGCATGGCTGGGGGTGTGGCCATGGTGGGCGTGACACTGGACTCGTGTTGGGGACACCTGTGGTGGCCAAGTGCTAAGGCAGGACTTCCCTGGAAACAGCAAAGGACCGACCTGTGGTGCCTCTGCTAGTGAAAATCCGAGCTCCATTTTCGCTTGCAGACAGTTGCAGGAGGCCGTCAGGACTGAAAATGGGGCATGGGGGGGGGGGGGCTGGGCATCCCCCCCCCAGCTCCATTTTCACTAGCAGAGGCACTTCAGGCTGGTCCTTGGCTGTTTCCAGGCCGGACCCTGGGGGCCAGATCTAAGCACCCCGCAGGCTGAATCTGGCCCGCGGGCCTTGAGTTTGACACCCCTGGAATAAATGGTTAAACCTTAATGTAAATTCTGCGATTGCTTTCTTTTATACCAGTTCACTTTTTTGATCTGCAGCTATAAAAACAATTCACTGCTGTCTCTGCACCTTAACAACAGGTGGTTCGTAGCTTCACTATTCTGGCTGTTTCTTTACAATTTATACATCTGCTGCCACAATTTCCAGCTCAATTTTACTTTATTTACTGCCACCTTGACTTTCTGTCTTTTTTGTGCAAATATGATTAAAACCAAAGATGGTGAGAGATGCAGACTTGTGGGGAGGGAAGTAATGATTCTTCATCTAAAAGAATAAAAACAGAAGTTGTGAAATAAGAGTAATCTGAAATGAATGCATCTCTGCTCGTTTTCATATGTTTCCCTACCATCTCTAAGCATATCCATATTTTATACCGAGACACATTTTCTAAGAAACCCTCTGACAGAGACAAAACTGCCTAGGACTGACAGGAATAGCAGTTCTCAGCCTGGAACAACTTGGGTTATTCTGGGGCAGTGTTTCCCAGCCTTGACTAGTTTACGAAGAGGGAACTTCAACTTCTAAAATCCCCCAGCCAACATCTATTCCTCAACTCACAACTATTCATTTAGTGACTGAAGTTACAATGGCACTGAAAAAGGGACCATTTTTCACATTTTATGATTGTTGCACAATGCCCATGGACACGTGATCAAAATTTGGATGCTTGCCAACTGACGTGTTTATGACAGTTGCCGTGTCCTGGGGTCATGAGATCACCTTTGGTGACCTTCTAACAAGCAAAGTCAATGGGGAAGCCGGAAGTCAGATTCATTTAACAATCTTATAAATATCTTTTAACAATTGCAGTGATTCGCTTAATAGCTGTGGCAAGGAAGGTCGTAAAAGGGAGCAAAACTCACTTAACTGTCTTGCTTAGCAAAAGAAATTATGGGTGCAATTATCACAAGTCAAGGACTGCTGTCAAAAAAATCAAGCTGTTGCCCACAGCTACATGACTGAAACCACAATCGTTTACCATGCATTGCATGAATGCACGTAACAAAGGGTGTGGCTCCAATCATGTTATTGAAGACATCATCCTTACATTTCACTGACATACCATGGGCACTGGGACATATGTGCAGGGAACACAGGATCATTTCTAAGACAAGATGGCAGAACTGGTACACTCTTCCATTTGAAAAGTATAGGGTTATTTAGCAGAGATTGAAATACTGTTTCATTTTTTAATATTTACATTTTATTTTTCCTAGTTTTTATGCACAATCATTTTATTCTTGCTGTGGGGAAGCTTTTGTGTTTGCCCAGATCACGCTGGAAGTTGGGGAACTCAAACTCCCAGAAGCCTTAGGCAGTAGAGACAATGATAACGAGCGATAGAAAATGCTGTTTATCCTTGGAGGGATAGAGATTGGTTCCTTACATGGTACTGCAAGGAGATGATAATATTGTTAGCTATTGATAGTGCTGATTTTCCCAGAGGACTTCATTAACATTAATGCTTGCTACTTCCATTAATTTCTAAACACTTTCCAGTTAAGTGGGATATTGTGTAAACACCTGTATTGCTTTATGTTGCGTTGGAACAGGTGTGCATTAAAATACGTAAATAATTATTTCTTCATTAACTTACAGAATGTATTTGATTAACGTAACAGGGCTGACTCCTGGGTTTTTTTTTTCAATCTGAAATTTTAAAAAATTAACCAAATGTTTCCTTGTATTGTTAAATATTTATATTGCTTTTTCATTTTAGTATCGGTTATAATTAAAATACTTTAATTTTAAATGGAATTCTGAGGATTATATTTTTCTCCTGTTATTTAAATTGGTATATTAATTTGGCTCACTCACTTAACAGTTTCAAAACTAATGTCATGCTGTTCTAAGATCCAGCTGAAGAATGTTCTATCGCAGAGTTTCTTAGCCCTTGCAATTTTAAACTGTGTGGACTTCCACTCTCAGGAGAAATCTGGGAGTTGAAGTCCACGCAGCTTAAAAGTTGTTGAGGTTGAGAAACACTGCTCTATTATATACAAAGAGGTACAGGCCTATATACATCAGGGTAATTTTTCCCAATGGCCACGTTCTCTGGCCATTAAACTGAATCCTGCTATGCCTAATCCTCACCCTAATGTTAGGACTATTTGATTTATACCCAACCTTTCCTTGCAACCAAGATCAAAACGGGTAAACAAATGTAGACATTAAATTAAAATCTAATTTATATGCCTCCTGTCGAATTGAGCTAACTGTTCTTAGCGTTTAGAAAGGTCTCAAAACACACTTTAAAAAAAAGATGTATTAATTTAATCATTTATTGCGATATTAATTTTAGCTTTATACTCTGTTGTAACCATTGGAAAACTTTGGAGCACAATAACAATCACATATACATAGATCACATAAATATAGTTGTCAACTCTAGTTTCTTCGCCTTATGGGAGTAGAATGCTCCCAAAAATCATTAAAAGGGTCAATTAATTGCAGTTTGGCTGATTGCTGATGCATGGATACCTGAAGAATCTGAGTTCAACTAGCCAACGTAGAGACTGATGACTGTGTCAAAACACACTTCTTCATACTATGTTTGAACAATAAATAAAATTAACTGAGGTAGTATCCTCAAAGAGTTGTTATGATGAATTCCCATACGTAGGTGTCTCCAGGCAAAGCGTTGAAATTTGTCCTAAATGAAAGACCAAAAGTGTATGATGGACTTTCCTTACTAGGAGATCTGACAGTCCATCAGCATGCCCTTCTCGTAAAAAGTAAGGTGCTATAAAATTGTGGTAGAAACAGTGAAATATGTTTTCGTGCTCAAATGGCTTCTATCAATCAAATGGCTGAAAATGGGGGAGTGGAGACAGGCTAGGCCATGCTTTTTGTTACTACTAAGATTTATTTTATTTCTTTTTCTCTCCAGCATTCTGGCAGCTATCATGAATCTTGAGAGAATTTGGCCTAGATTACAATGTGGATAAAATGAACGGATGCTGAAGGTGCAACCAAGTGCAACTCATATTGATGGGAAAGCTGCAGATTTGGATGCAGTTCAAGTGCAGTTGTAATTGAATGTTTCCAACCATTTATTTTATTTGCCATCCCTGCCAATCAATTAAGATTTGGATAGTATGCAATGAATCAGACAACAAAATTCAGAAATGCAGTGAATTTATTTATTGAAAATAATGCAGTGGATTCATTTATTGTTTTAGTGCAGGGTGTCAAACTCAATTTCATTGAGGGCCGCATCATGGTTGTGTCTGACCTTGGAGGGCCGGGGGTGGGGCATGCCTGAGGTGGTGTGGCCATGGTGGGCATGGCACAGGACTTGTGTGGGGGCCACTTGTGGTGGCCAAGTGCTAAGGCACGACTTCCCTGAGACCCTCCCTCACACTCCTTATACAGGTAATCCTTGAGTTATGAATGTAATAGAGCCTGCCAATTACATTCGTAACCCAAGGATTCATTTGACTGAATCACATTAAATGAACATGATCACTCCCTGCTTTCCCCAATGCATTTGTTAATCGAATGTATGAGGTATCTCAGAGTGGGGAAGAGCATGCGGGGCCAAGTGCTGCAGCAGGCCATCCAAAGCCTCCCCAATCCACTGAGATACCTAATGCTCCCCTGGGGTCCCAATTGCTACCCCCTATCCTGCCCCACTGGGTCTCCACAGACTGGGCCTGCTTTGCTAGCATCCCAGATTCCACTTACTCCTCCCCATCCCATTTCCCATGGATTACTTACTTTTTGAAGAGCTCCAGAAGAGGCTGACCCACTGGCAGAGAAGCCAAAGTATTTTATTCAGATGATGGCAAAGCTGTAAGAACGTGAAATCTAAGGAAAACATTTTCACCAGCTTCTGAGTAAAAGATTTCTGAGTAAAAGATTTCAGCCTAGGCCTGGACTGGGCCACAGCGGCCTCCTGCTTCAGGAATTGAGGCGGCAGCAGCAGCCAATCAATGAAGTTGTTTCGTCTCATCGGGCTGAACTGCAAGCCTCTTGTTGATTGGCTGCCACGGCCCAATCCCTGAAGCTGCTCATTCAAACTAGCCAGTCAGCAGCAAGCAGGAGGCTGTTCGTCACCGGCCAGACTGGGCCCAAACTAAGCCTGCAGGCTCTCATGGCATAAAAGCCGGTCTTTTATTCAGATGGGGCAAGCTGTTTTCCTTACATCTCACTTTCTTACAGCTTCATGGGCTTCTGAATAAGACTTTGGCTTCTCTGCCATGTGGGTCAACCTCTTCTGGAGCTCTTAGAAAAGTAAATACAGTAAAGCCATGGGAAATGGGATGGGGACAGCTGAATCCGGCCTCCAGAGGCTCCATTTCAGCCTGTAACAGGCCGGGAGAGGCCTCCCGAGTCCCAAAAGGAGCTTCGGAGGGCCAAATGTGGCCCACAGAGACTCCATTTCAGCCAGCAACAGGTCAGGGGAGATCTCTGGAGACCTCTATGGCCCATTTTGGCTGACAGAGTGCTAGAGGAGGCTGTCCAGGTAAAAAAATGGGCCACAGGTGGGCCGCTAGCAGCGGTAATGCATGCCAGCCCTTTGCTATTTCCAGGACAGTCCCATGGGCCAGATCTAAGCACCCTGCAGGCCGGACCTTGAGTTTGACACCTGTTTTAGAGGCTACCTGATATCTGAAAGTTAAAAAGAATAGAACACAATTTAAAACGTGGTTAGTTAGGAGAATTTCTTCTTTTTGGTTTGTTCCTCACCTGGGTCAAAATGCCAGATAGCAGAAATAAAAAAAGTTTTATTTAGCATGAAACCAAAAGCATTTGTGTGACTGGCCTCTTGCAAATAAAGGTGCAAAGCATTTTATGGTCATTAGTCCACAGATATCTAGTTTTGGAATTTTCAAGTTTTATTTTCCTAATAAGAGATAGCCTAATTTCTCATGTTCTAATTGGCATACCTTATCTCTGTGCTATTTTGTCCTCACATTTCTTTCTAATCTATGTACAGGTAGTCCTCAACTTATAACCATTCGTTTAGTGATCGTTTGAAGTTACAGCAGTATTGAAATGACTTATGATTGTTTTTCACATTCATGATTGTTGCAGCATCACCATGGTTCCATGATGAAAATTTGGATGCTTGGCAACTGGCATATATTTGTGAGAGTTGTAGTGGCCTGTGATCCCCTTTCACGACCTTCTGACAAGCAAAGTCAATGGGGAATCCAGATTCACTTAACTGTGTTACCAACTTAATAATTGCAGTGATTTACTAAACAACTGTGGCAAGAAAGATCATACAATGGGGCAAAGCTCATTTAGCAACTATCTTGCTTAGCAGTGGATATTTTGAGCTGAACCGTGGCCATAAATTGAGGACTATCTGTATATGACCTCGTCTCCATGTACAATACAGGAAACTGTAATCCCTTTGTTCAGTGACTGCTCAAAATTATGGCACCGCTGGAGGACATCCAACTTGTCCTCACAATTCCAGCCATTGCAACGTGCCTGTAGTCATATAAAATTGATATGGTTGCTTTGGTGCCCAGATCATGATTATAATGTCTCAGAAGACTATATCACGTTATTACCGTTTTCAACCATTTCCACAAACAAAGCCAATGGGGAAACCAGCAGAGAATGTTGCAAGTCCAGTAAATTGTTCCCTAGGAATCTGCTCCAGTGTGTGAAATCCCAGGGATATCTTTTGGCCTTTGATAGTGCTGTCAATCTAGCTTTCAATCTGGAAGCATACTAGAATCACTAATATGGCCATACAAAGAGCTTTGTATATGAAGCCTTTCATATGTATTTTCAAATATCTGCTATCTCACAGGTACAGAATAAGCACAGTAGCTAGCATAAATATAGGCTTTGAATTTGGGTTTACCTTCTAAATAAATATATAAGAAAATCAAAATATGCCAAAGTTGTGATCCTAGAAAAAAGATATTATTCAAGCCAGAATTCTCAAACGCATGAAAATATTTATTGTATGGCCTCTGGCTGCAATTTTGCAAAGCATTTGTCTGAAGAAATAAGGTTTAAGTGTCCCCAACCACACATAATAATCTAGATCAGAAACGTGGAATGCTTTTTTTAATAACTTTTCAAATGATTTGCTTTTTACTATATGCTACCTAGACTCACGCTCTATGAGTTGGGCAGCTACATAAATTTGACAGACAAATCCTACCTTTAAATCCTATCTTTACTCTAGTTGAGTATAAAAATACATTGGTTAGCCAGTATTTCATGAAATCAAGAGATAAAAATATAACCTTCCATCCCTTGACCCACAACATAATCACAACAAACGTAAACATGAAAAGTACCTGTTTCCTATTCTGGCAGAATACTTTAGCCTTATGGGCAGGAATTTGATAGAAAAATGCCCCCAAAGTGTTATTTAGGTAGACTTTATGTTAGTTAAGTAAATATACATTGTTTTCTAGGTAGGAACAAACTGTGACTTGAGGTTCCTCCCATCTCTCACTGCACTTCCACATGAAGTCTGCACCACTCACAGGTTTGTCTTAGTTCTGTTGAAATGTTAAAACTGTTCTCACTTTCCAAAAGCTGAGCTAGTTTTTTCCTTTTGGCTCAGCAATGGTACAAGAACTGCCCTAAAAATGGGTTTCAGCTGGAAACACCAGCCCTGAGCAAAGTTGGGGATGATCTATTTTCTTTCGGAAGAAACACTTGCGCTGCCTCTCCTCCTGGCTCCAGAATTTCTGTTGTCTGGAGAATGCTTGCTTGACAGCTTCACACCTCCTCCATAGTTGAGTATCGTCCTTCTCTGAAAAGCTGACACCAGCCAGAGCATAGAATTAGTGCAAGATTGGAAGATGGAGAAAGACCCGGTCCATAGAATCATTAAAAAATTTCCCCTACCAGTTCTGTGGGTGTGGCTTGTTGGGGGGAGGTCATGTGACTGGGTGGGCATGGCCAACTCAACATCACTCACATCGAGGGGTTCCTCACCGGCCCCTCCCCTCCCAGCCACTCGTTGCGAATGGCAGGAAAATGGGGAGGGAAATATTCCTGTCTACCATCCTTCCCTCAGTCTGTGCTGAGATCTCCTTCCCCATTTTCCTGCCTTTCACAAAAATGGCTCCATTCCACCTGCTCCTCCCGTCCCCCTCCCTCCTGGGGACTACCTTAAAAGGGATAGGCTGCAACAGCTCCATTCTTAATGGAGGGAGAAAAGTTAGCATTCTCTCTGCTGCATTTAATATTGAATTCTGTGGAATATCGAGTGGCTGGAAGAGGTTAGCGGCGACTGGCCGGGCGTGGGTGGGGCCAAGGAGGGCAAACTGATTCCCATAATCCCTAATGGTTCGCCCGAACTGGTCTGAACCAGTAGGATTTCACCCCTGGCACAACTGAATGGATAACATCATCATCATCGTCTCTGATAATAGTTAAGCTGCAATCAAAGACTTCAACTATGAGTTGTCAGAAATGAAAGTGTTCAGAGATCACTTTGGAAAGATAAGGAAATAGAAATGGTGGTTGACATCACAGTGCCTTTTGACAGTCCCATTGATGACAAAATTTAGTGGAGCTGAATATTTTGTCTCTTCAATGCTAAGTAAATACCATGTATTCTAAGTTTTTTTAAATTAAAAAATACAAATCCATTAGCCAATGGATTTGTTCAATGGATACAAATGCATTATCACTTTAAACTATGTAGTTGTTATTGATGCTTGTTACACTTCCAATTACAGTTTTGAGAATTGTGCAGTCTTTTATAATAAAACACAGCTGCTGCTTTTTTAAAAATACAGAAATGTATGGGTGTATGCATGTGTGTGTGAGAGAAATGGATGCCAATAAAATGGAACTAATTAATTCTATTGTGATGTGTTTCTTGGCCACCAAATTAGTAATGAAGTCATATTTTGCAATTATATTTCATCATATATTACTAGAATTAGGAATACATGCTGAAGTGGCAGGTTTTCTCATTTTATGAATGAATAAAACTACATTAGTTCCAATCCTTTGAAATGGTGTTTTGTTTTTACAGCTCGGCATTAATATGTTTAATATGAAACAAAATGCTGGGAGTTTTAAGGCAGCGGTCTTTAATATAAACCTCTTTCTGAAATATTTCCCCCTTATCCAAAAGCATCACTGACTCTTTTTCCAATCTAGGTGGTTTTGCAAGAGACAAGGAAAGAAAAGGTGTGCAAGAAAAAAAATTGACTAACACAAAAGAAACCTCCAGTTTAGGAAAAAGACTGTTTCTGCAAACTCATCTATTTTCTACTAGACATGTTTCCACTGTTCCATGTGCTTCTCTGTCTACAATAGTCAGTCTAGGCAATCTATGAACACATTTTCAGCGTACTTGTTTATGATCTCCTCTGTGGACTTTTTTTTTTTTTTTTTACATTGAATTTGCATACCGCCCTACTCCCGAAGGACTCAGGGCGGTGAACAGCCGAATAAAATACATATAATATAAATGTTAAAAAACCATTAAAAACGGTTAAATGTAAGGTTAAGTTATTCTTCCCAAAGTGGTCAGTACGTTCTGCATCGCTATTTGATTTTGCAGAATACTTTGTTTTTTTAAAAATGTTATCCCTACCGTTATATAGACTACTTGAAAATTAGCAACTTATTGTATATCCGAAATTGGGCCTATCACAGATTTCAGCATCTGAAATTATATTCTTTATTCCTGTACATGAAGTCAGTAGGCATGCTGCAGCCTAAAAAAAAAGCAATCGCTGAGACTTGACACTGCTCAACTGTGTTTTGTTAAATTGTGTTATATTGTCTTTGCAGCTAGCATGCTGCCCTGAGACTTGCGGGGTGGTGGTGGTGATGGACATACAGGCTTTTAAATGTGATAAGAGTGCCATATTGCAAACAAAATCAGAAAAAAACTTGCCAGGTGCTAAATTTCTAATTATCTAATTTGAAAGTACAAGCCTTCCTTCCCTTCTCCCCCCCGCTATTTTTCAAACAGTCCAACATTTTCTAAATTTTGAACAATGCAATGACTTTGAGGCATACATTAACTGCATAAGGAAGATCTACATATAAATAAACTATGGAAAAGAATGAGTTAGAAAGAAATTGGTGCAATTTCCCTTAAAACCACCAGATGGCAACATTCTTTACCTTCAATGAAGCCAAGTATGCTAAATACTGTATAGAATTATTTGGAGATTATCATCTAACATGATGATTAGATTATTTCCAACCTCATTTTGGAAGAGTTTAGAATATGAGAGACTTTGTTACAATGTACCAAAGGTTGGAATGACTAATGGAACAACAGGATGCTATTCTCTTAGTGCTACCTAACTACCAACATGACTGACCCAAGAGATACTGCTTCACTCAAAGCTAGTTTTATGCTATCATTATAGTTACTAGTCAACACTGTCATGTTAGATAAGGTAAATACTGTTTTCTAGATAGATATTGACCTGTTGTATGATAGCTTATTTGATAGAATCATTCATGTTCCTAACAAAGATTCAACAAATGAAAGACCATGGCCAAAGATGCAATTGAAAAAGGCACTATTTCACTATTGGCTGCTTTTCTGGTATGTGCAAAAAAATTAATAGTATGCTAATTTCAATCTAACTGCTCCCAATATATATATGTATGTATGTATGTATGTATGTATGTATGTATGTATGTATATATATAGTATGTATGTAATGTATGTATATATGTATATGTGTGCTTGTGTGTGTGTGTGTGTGTGTGTGTGTGTGTGTATATATATACACATATATATATACATACACACACACACACACACCCATCCAATCAGAGCACAGGCAAGCCCCCAACCAATCAGAACACACTTCCACCTAATCAGAACACAGCCAAGCTCCCACCCAATCAGTTCATACCCACACTAGCAGTTAAAAGGAAGAAACAGCTGCGATCACACATTGCTCCTAGAAGCACGAAGCCGAAAACACCAGCCTGAAGATGACGAATGAGACTTCGTCGAAAGGTCGCCAAGACACTTCCAATTTTACGCGGGAGAAAACCTGAATAACCGAAGACCTACACATACACACACACACACACACACACACACAAAAGTATTTTGCTACTTAATGTTCTAAACTAATGTTTGAGGGGCAAAATACACGATCATCTTCATGTGCACACAAACTCTATAAAAACACTATTTTGTACATTTAGGTCTTATTTATTATAATATTGATATGAAATCCCAGCTTAAACAGAAATATTCATTCCAAAAATTTAGAAATTTATGAATGTTTGCTTCTTGGATTGCATGTACATAAAAACTAATTCACTCATTTACAATATTTGATGAATCACACATTTGCTGCAATGAGAACCTCCTGCCAATTTTGTATAAAAATAACAAAATTATTTGCATTTCTATTACTTTCATAATTCTCTATTTCCAATATTTATTGCAACTTCATTATGTATAGTTCCACTAGTTCTGCTGAATTACGTTGACAATCTGTAAGGATGCAGAATGCCTTGTTACCTTTTTCATGTTTATTATTCTGTTGTTCATTGCATATTATCAATCAATCCCAGCAATGAAAGACTTTTCTCAATCATTCTGCTATCTATTGTCTTCAACAATTATCATTCTTCTAGGGTAGCTATCAATATCCACAAATATGTAACGATATTCATATTTTCCACTTTCAGGATTCTGTTAAAAAAAAAAAAGGGTAATTTCTGTTAAAAAAGAAGAGAAGATGTGGGTAATTTAAGTATTAAATCAGAGATGTGAGATTTCAGGGGCTGAAAACCTACCCTGTTTCCCTGAAAACAAGACATCCCCTGATAATAAGCCCAATTGGGCTTTTGAACGCATGCACTAAAATAAGCCTCCCCCGTGAAAATAAGCCCTCCCTGAAAATATTTAAACACTGAGCTGGAAATCAGATAAGTGTGCAAGAGGAGCACCAACTTGCTCCACACGCTCCAAAATAATAAGACCTCCCCAAAAATAAGGCCAAGCGTTTATTTCGGGGTTCAAAAAATATAAGACAGACTCTTATTTTCAGGAAAACACGGGAAAAACCTGGTCTCCTACAGTGCTTTTTTAAAAAAAACAGTCAGTTTTCACATTCCCTGTCTTCTCCTTTATAGGTAAACCTACTCTAATACACAATGTTGTCATGTCCCAGTTTATATGGTATGCAACTCTGAGAAAGGGCCTGAGATTGCCACTTACACTTCTACAAACTGGAGGTTTTCAATGTCAGTATTAAATTATGGTCTATACTTTATTGGAGTTTTTGTACCTCTTTGACTTCAAGATGAACAGTTCCTTGTTTTCCTTTTTCAGATCCCTCAATGTAGAATTTTAGACGCATATATTTCAATCCATCTTTTACAAACTCAATATGGCTGACAAAAAGCACAAACAAGATATTTTTCCAGCTTAAGAAAACCATTCTTCAAATCTTACATGTGCATTTTTGGATAAAGCAATTGTGACTTCAAAACTTAAATGTATGGTGCAGCCAATGGTAAACAATTAAATAACAGAAGATGGAAACACAGTAAACAAAATCCTTCAAAGTTGGGTAGTGAGCAATACTGCTACAATGAAATGTCAATGTTTTTCGATATAGTGTGAAGAAAGGATAGGAAAATGTTGGACTATTTTGTTGAGACACACCAGCTTCCTAGACTTTATTTGATTAGAGCCATCCATCTATTATATTCATGTCCTTTGGATCTGTGACACAGTAAACATTATCTTCCTTCTAGAATGTAATTAAATCTTTTTATACCTAACCTACTTAGGCTCATGGGTTTGACTTCCAAATCCACCAACACAATCAGATAGACTATGTTGATAAATATTAGTCATGTCTGATTCTATCAAGTTTATTCAAAAGCAAATTTCATCAAGGGTATTTAGGGAAGTGAACTGAATCAAGTGTACACAAGACTAAAGTCAGAAGCTAACGAATATAACAGTAATATGGACCTCCTTCTTCAGTAAATATTAGCTTCGGAGTCTCCTGTCTAGTAATACCTATCATCAAGGCTCAAGTAATACATATCATCAAGAATCCACACGCAATCTTGAATTTACAATTAAAATATTACAAAATGTACTAGGCAGTTGTATATGGCATTTTTTGGTCTTAATTTAAGTAAACTGACAAATAGTCCTGCCAGGCAATCTTCCATGTCTTCACACTGAAAATGACACTCATTGCCCTTCAGCTATAGTATAACACATTTGATTCCACTGTTGGCATGTCGTAAACCTGGAGCTGTCTTTCAATGTGACACAAGTTTAAGATTTAAGAAAACTGCTTACCCAATCATTATATAAATCCTATTGCACATAACTTACATTCTAAATTACTTCTTTAAGGCAAAAATTGCATTATTGAAAACAATATGCTTAAAGAGAAAGAAAAACAAAACCAGATTTCTACACTGTGAAAAAAAGAAACAAAATCTGATTTTTCAGTTCCAAAATGGTTTCCTGGAAGATTCTAATAGTAATAGGAATATATAAAAAGAGAATCTATTTCATTTCTTTTAGCCTGTGGAAATCCATGAATTCAATATATTGTCTTCTGGTCAATGTTAAGATTCACTTAACAATTGTGTTACTAATTTAACACCTGCAGTGATTTACTTAACAAATGTGGAAAGTAAAAGTCGTAAAATGGGGTAAGACTCACTTAACAAATTTCTCACTTAGCAACATAAATTTTAGGCTCGATTGTGGTCGCTGAGGACTACCTATACCATAACAATATAAGACGTATATCAGCATCAACTGACATGGTCAACAATTACTACCAAACAAATGCTTGTATACTTGCTAAGAAATTATCCAAAGCTTTATTATTATTGCATTCATTAGGGATAAATTTAGGTTAGGCTACATTACTACTTTTCAAGTGCAATACAAGAAGAATTAAATAAGCTGAATAATGTAAAAACAAGTTCAAAGACAATAACAATCAGAAAATAACATTTAATAGAAATGTTAAGGGTTCCATTAATAGATACCTGACCAACTGTCTTCTCCCACGGCGTGTAGCTTCACCATAGCCTTTTATGGGTTCACCAAAAATTCCTATTACCTAATTAGTTACAAGAAGACAACATGCTTAATTATCCACTTTCTATCCAGGACTAGGGAATAGTTTCATCAGAATAACTACTAATGTTATATAATCTCCCATCAGACATAATTTACATCTTTTCACTATACTGATTTCAAAATTTTAGCAAAATGAGGAGGAGGCATGCTTCTTTGGGGAAAAAGCTTCACATGCTTTTCAGCTGGTCTAACATTACCTGCCATTGCAATTACATAATTTTTGTGGTCTTCCCTCTGTAATTTTTTAATATAAAATTTGGGTTTCCTTGCATTTGATGTTGAATGATTGAAAGCCATGTTGGAATTTATGAAGAATATTGAAAATGGCAATTCATAAAAAAAAAAACACGGAGCAGTTGGAACAGATACTCTTTTCTACCATCTGTGGCTTATTTTAGGTAGATTATGTATACCTGGTATGACAGAAGAAGAATGGCCAATCCTACTTTCATTTGTTGAAAATCAGCTCTCTTTAAGAAAACTATTTTCACTTGATAATGAGCAAGCCAAATTTCATTGATTCTGGGGCTCAATTAAAGAATTTTTTAAAAAAAAATAAAGAGTTTTTTTTTCTATAATCAACATCTTTTTCATTGAAATTTGGAAACAAACCTCAGGGTGAGCTCTGCATTTCTCCAAGGCGTCTCCATAGATTTTACTGGGACTGGAAGAAGAGAATAATTCCTTAAAAATCACATAGAATAACCCACCTGAAGGAGAAGAAAACCAGATGCCAATGAATCAAAAAATCTTCTAAAAAGCCATTAGTAAAGCACTTGTAAACTAGATTTTTTTCCTGTTTCAATCACCTGTCACACCGATCCCGATGATCACCACTATCAAGTAAGTGAAATCTCTTCCTGCTTCTTTCACTGAAAGAGGAAAAAAGAAGAAAACAAGATAGCTGTAAAATACTAGATAAAAAAGTGCAGTCTCTAAAATTAATGCCTCTTAGAGTTTCCTCTGAGAATCAAAACATGTTAATAGCTTTTGTTTTGAGAACAGTAAGAAAAGCATTAAAACTGTTAGTTCTATCACATGTGCTAACATTCTACAGCTGTTTCATTTTCCATGTCTTCTTTAAGAATGTAATATAGTCTTGCTATTGAACTAAGGGACAGGAAGAAGTACTTGTGCTTTCTGTTCACAAGAATGTGAAGAATATATCCATTGGGATGGATTTTTGATTAGGAACTTTCTATGGTTATTTAGTTTTGATTAGTGGATACTGTTCTTGTTTACTTTGTTATATAGAAGATGTTCCGCTAATGGGGGCAGTAAAATCTTTTGGATTAGTCAAATCTTTTGACTGAATCTCTGCCAATATCTATTTTCTCCCTTTACTTAAAATTACTGACTAGCATGGCAGAGACAAGATGGACAAGAAAATACTTATTCCAGAACAAAGATAACAGTTCTAAAAACAGCAGAGGTAAATCATTATTGCCATGATTATTTTCATTTGTTCTTTAAAATTTGGCATGGCTTGGCTCATGTTTTTGATTAACTGAAAAAGATTCAACTGTGTTGTGTTTTTCACTTCATAAATACACTAAGCTAAACCTGACTACCAAAATGTTTCTTGAGCTTGTATATTTAGAGAGATATGCTATTACAAATCATAGACCAGCTAAAAACAAAAAGAAAGCGAAGGCTGTGACAGCAATAAAAATCAGAATAAAATCCAATAAATATAAAACTAGAATAGTCCAGGTGTGATGTATTTTGCAAATAGTAAAACATATATAAAGTAGAATATTTGTAGCTCAGGGTTGAAATGAGGGGTCCTTGGTGCTTTCTGAGCTTGCTTGTTTTCTTGCAAATGTTTCATTACCCTCACGAGGTAACATAATCACTGATGTTATTAACTAGCACTGATGTTACCTCGTTAGGATAATGAAACTTTTTCAAGAAAACAAGCAAGCTCAGAGAGCACCAAGGACCCCTCAGCAAAACATATATCTTATAAATAGTATAGTAGTATAACAGTTAACTTTATGCCAAGAAATACTGCTTAATTAGGAAGAAATAGTTTTTACTTCTTCTGAGAATTAATCAGTATAATCCCAATTCCAAGTCACTAGATTCTGCATGGCTCTGGATTTCAGTCTTTGCTATTTTGAATGTAAGGTTGGTAATAAGTTTGCTGTGGACAAGACAGCTGATTTGGCATTCATTACTGAGGCCTGGGTGACAAATCTGATAATAGCCATGATCCCAGAGAAGGAGAGGGTGGGTGGCAATTTATTTATTTATTTCAATTTGTATACCGCCCTTCTCCTAGTGGACTCAGGGCAGTGCACAGCCAGAACTAAAACACATACCAATACAAAATTTAAAATTATTAAAAGAATTACATAACTGGCCCAAATTTAAAACAATTCAATTAAAACCCAATGACAATTTAAAAACTAAAAAACTAAAAAAAGACTAAAATTATTATCTGACAAACTTTTCAGTTTCTCTTTTGCACATATTGGATGTGAGACCTTCTGGTCAATACTGGATTTGACGCTGCTGTATCAAGCTTGCCTGCTGTATAATGAGATACTTGTTTGAACCGCCAGACTCTGTTGGTAGCTTAGCAGCAGAGTTGCCAAGGTTAACAGTTCTTTGTGACTTATAACTGTCCCAGATGCCATAAAGACTGTGGCAGTTCAGGAATTCATGGCTACTATGGCCATACAGATTTGACCCAAGTCATGAAGGCTCCATGGGAGACGTTAGATCTGTTTTTTGTCTCCGGGCAATTGTAACATGATGTGGTAGTCGAGGACATACCACCAGTTTTCATGGTCTGTTTTTTTAGTTTGCTGGTGTTGCCCTCCCCACTAGGAAGACGACCTATTGGCATTCTGCACCAAATACCAATTTGATTGAGATCTTAGCCTTGAGTTGGGAGGCATAACAGCCTTGGGCGGCATTGCTTCTATGAAATCTCTCATTATGTGCTGAACCTGGAATGTTGCTTGCTTTTTAGAGGAGCTCTTTGAGATGAAATCTGGAAGAGATGCTTCAAAGTGCCACTGGAGAATGACAAAGAACGAGTCCAATTGAACACAGGCTTGTCCCTAGCCTAAAAATGAGTTAACTTTAAATTGCTTTTTGTATTAGGATAAACTACTATGTCTCTCCTAATTCTGTCACCATCCAAAAGCAACATCCAAGTCTGTTAAGCTGCTTTCCCATTGCTCTGATAATAAATCAGGAGCCCAAGGTGACTTGAAATAGACAGATAGCAGAGACAGTACGTTTTGTCTTCTGCCAAACATTCAACTTGAGTGGAAACAGGCCTTATGCCTGCCAAGGTATTTTACCTTTGGCCCTCGAAGGGTTGCTTACCTAAATTCCAGCCAGCATAATGGCTGAACTACAAATGCCAGCAAAATGAAAAACGCTAATATTTCTATTTCTGCAAAACCCAATTGGCTGCGAGATCCCTGTCCCTTTTCCACATTTTGCTGCAACCACATGATGCCCTCCAGAATTGCTTAAGGTTCATTCTTGCAATTATCATATTTGGCCCTGCAGGCTGAGATTGTTAAGACTATATTAGGCCAATGTGATTTTTTTTCAAGGAAACAGGCAAATTTTTACCCTTCAAATATTGAAATCGTCCAGACCCAAAGAGCATTGTCCATTACTCTAAATCCCATTTCCTAAAACTTTTGGTGGGCTGCATTTTTCCTTCGTGCAGAGTAACAAAGAGATATTCAGAAACACGGAAAACTGCAGCATTTTAGGGAACGTTTTACAGTCCTGAGCGTTTTAATCAGTGAAACCAACGTCTCTCTCCCTCCTTACCTTTTTGAGCAGCTGAGAGTGAAACGTCTCCTTTTTTACTTTGCACAGGCACCTGCGAGCTCCTGTTCTCTGATTTTTCGGATCTCAGGCCACCCAGGGGGACCCAAAGGCTTCGCTTTATGACTTCGTAGCCTATCTCAGGACTCAAGACATGGTCGTGACTGAGCCCTTGCCCTACTCTGGACCATGCCCAAGTGTTTAGAAATGCCGCCCTATGTCGTGCAAGCGCCTGCTTCACTGCAGATCTCAGCAGCTGGTCACTACAGCAAATTCCTCGCACAAAAACGGAAAGCATTATGATTTACTAGCTGCTTCTGCCCCAAAGACCCAGGAATCAATTCCAGCTCCCTTGAGTCCTGTGCAAGCAGCCGGAGGCATCCCTCTAGAGTTTACTCTCGGTGCAAAGCGCCCGTAGCCGCTGAACGACCCATTGCAATGTTTTTCTTTGCAGCTTTCACTTGTTGAATTAATTCGAACAGAGCAAAGGCGGCCACGACCTTTACGGTCCCAGGTACTTGCCACTCACCGCACCATTTACGTTTTGCAAGCGATTGTGGGTACCGTAGTTTGCAGCAGATACGGATCTGCCCACTGATCTGCAGAGAAAACAAATGAAGGACTTCAAATCCCAAAATGCAAGGCGCGATGCTTTCCATAGAGCCGACAGCGCATTATAGGACAGAAATAGAGTTCCGGTTTTCAGTTCGCGGCCGCAAATGATAGAGAGGGAGCTTTTGGGGGAATTTGATTATTACGGCTAATGCACAAGAGAGAGAGAAAAAAAACAGATCCGTATAGCATCCGTTATTCAAGTTCAAAATAGAGAATAGTATATTGTTGTAACGGGGGATTATCTTCATAGTACAAATTTCTCCAAACCTGACCCCAAAAGCCTTTAAATTGTGATTTCTTACCAGTTTGAGTTTTATAGAAATTGTCATATGTTGAAGTCCAACACAACTGGAAAGCCCCGAGTTAAAAAGAAATGCATCTTATCCTACGAGTGGCATTTGAAATAATTATTGCTCCTATCTCTTGGACTTTTGTGAGTTTCAAGTCACTAATGAAAAAAGTCACCTTTCTCCCATAAATTTTAAAGCCATTATTGGTGGTATTTCAGCATTTCATTCTAAGAAAGAGAGCTTGGGTTTAACAACGTTCTCTTAAATTGCTTTAAAGATGGATTTGCTTGCTATACAAAGTACAGAATCATTTTAAAAGAAACACAAACACAGAGTTCTACTGGACTACATGAGTTGGGAAAATAACATCTCTGAACAGTTCTTACAAAGCTTTTCCTCACACATAACCTTAGTGTCAGATACTTTTCATTCAAACTTCTTGTGAGCTTGACAAATCAAAAGATCAGAAAATGGTGATATTGTAGAGTCAGCAGCATAATTGTTTATTAGTTCCTTTTTAGATATTGAAGATAAATATAAATGCAATTCCCATAATTCTAAGAAGCGTTCGCTTGAAAGGGCCTTTGATGTTTGGAAAAAAAGGCTTTGTGACCAGCTGTAGTAATGTATGCAGATTTGTTTTAAGAGATCCACGACAAAGGCACCTACACTGGGCCCAAAATAGGGTCCCTTTAAGCAGGTCAGCAGGCTATGGTGAATATTCCTGCTGCAATGCTATGATTGGTGTTTTCCCCTAGCTTTTCTGCCATGTCCCAGGGTTTTATCTTCATAAAATCATAGGGCTGTAAGGGATCTCTGATGTTTCTGCTCCAACACCCCCTCAACCCCCAAGGCAGGAGTCCTTATATCATCCTGAACAGATGGTTATCTAATCTTCATCTCAACTTTGTCCATGAAAGAGGCTTAACTCCTGCTTAGCTATATTAGTGTTAGAGTAGTGCAATATTACTTAACCTCAGTAATTTTTAAGATGAATGGACTTCAACTCCCAGAACTGGTGGCTGGGGAATTCTAGGAGTTGAAGGGCTTAAAGTTGCTGAAGCTAAGAAATGTGGGAATATAGGTATTCCTTGACTTATAGCAGTTCATTTAGTGAGTGTTCGAAGTTACAACGGTTCTGAAAAATGTAATTTATGACAATTTCTCACACTTAACGATCATTGCAGCATTCCCATGGTTGGCAACTGACACATATTTATGACTGTTGCAGTATCTTGGAGTCATGTGGTTACCTTTTGTGACCTGACTAGCAAAGTCAATGGGGAAGCCAGATTCACTTAACAACCATGTTACTAAGTTAACAGCTGCAGTGATTCAGTGAAGAACTGTTAAATGTTGTAAAATGGGGTAAAATTCTGTTTTAACAAATCTCTCTGCAACAGAAATTTTGGTCTCAATTGTGGTTGTAAGGAGTGTCTGTAGTGCTTTTTCACTTATCCCAATCAAGGACAGACTCAAGATATATAAAATCTGTTCAACTTTGCTGCTCATTAGCATTAAGTCAGTAACTGGGAACAGAGGCAAGAAGTGAGCATCAACACCCAGGAAGTATATTTTATACTAGTATAATTTCTGCTAGCTCAAGGACAAATTGAGCATAACTTTTCAACTCAGCTGTGGGGAGGAAAGCCAATAAGTCTCAGAGACTTGGGATGAATGGAAAGCAAAGTTCTTGGTGGAAGATTTGGGCAGTGGTAGGATTCAAGTAATTTAACAACTGGTTATCTGCCCTAATGATTTCTTCCAACAACCAGTTTGCCAAACTGTTCAGAAAGTTAACAACCGGTTCTCCCGAAGTGGTGTGAACTGACTGAATCCTACCACTGGACTTGGGGCACCGCTGAAGATGCTGCCAGGCCAAGGCATATACATTCCATGGCTGGGTATAGCATAGGCAATAGGATTAGCAAATAAATATTTGAGGAGTGATGCAGAACATCACAGTACAGGTAGTCCTCGACGTGGGACCCCAAATGAGCCCAAAATTTATGTTGTTAAGTGAAACATTTGTTCAGGCAGTTTTGCCCCATTTGCCCCATTTGCTTCATTTTAGGGGCAGTTTTGCCCCATTTGCCTCATTTTAGGACCTTTCTTACCACAATTGTTAAGTGAATCACTGCAGTTGATAAGTTAGTAACCCGGTTGTTAAGTGAATCTGGCTTCCCTGTTGACTTTGCTTGTCAGAAGGTTGCAAAACATGACCTTGGGACACAGCAACAGTCATAAGTATGAACCAGTTGCCAAGCATCTGCATTTTGATCACAGGAGCATGGGGGAATGCTACAAAAGTTGTAAACTGTGGAAAAACAGTCATAAGTCACTTTTTTCAGTGCATTTGTAACTTTGAAGTGTAACTAAAAGAACTGTTGTAAGTGTGGGGAGTTCCTGGACTAAATGATCCACTGATCCTACTGATCCCCGCCCCCCCCCCGCCCACCTGCTAGATTGAAGCACTCTGCCTCAGCGGCTGCAAACCCTCACGATTAAACGGGAAATTGGGAGAGCGAGAGGGGGCAGCGTGCAAATTTAATGAAGAAAATCACGTGTGCTCCTTCCCATTTGGCCTACTCGCCACGCCCCTTGTCCAAAGGGCCAAAAGCAAGCCCGGAAAGCGAGCGTCTCCAAGCAAAGCGCGTCCGGGCGTTGAGAGAAAGTTTGGGCTTGGGATCCCGGGCGGGCACGAGGAGGCTGGTGCGCTTTCGACCCGTTGCCTTCCAAAGCTTATCTCCCGGAGGCCCGTCTCTATGGCAACCGGACGCGGTTGGATTCTGAGGCAGCACAGCTTAGGCTTCCTGAGCTCGTCGGTTGCCGCCGTGGCTCGGCGGGGAATGGGCGCCTCAACGCCGCCCCTCTTTATCCTGCCCACCGGAGATAGATCCCTGTCGGTCAGCTCTTCAGCGGGAGATGGGTAACCCCGAATTCGCTTGCTCTGAGGGATGGCTGGGGGGCAAGCCGAGTTGAAGAGGCGGTCTTAACCGCGGAGCAGCATTTAGGCTGCCCGCTGTTGCTCTTGCCTCCCGGTCCCTGTGGAAAGGTCTCCCACCGCCGACAGACGCCGCCAATTTGCTCACCTTTCGTGGGCCTGTGTTAAAGACACTTACACAGTCTCTTAAGGGGAACGGGTGGGTTAGTGAAGGCAATTGATTGCCGCCTTAATTCTTGGCGTCCCTGTGGAGAACTTCATCTCTCAAGTTTCTGCTTGTGGCTAGTTTTAAACCGCTGGATTGCTATGATCCTGGGTTTCATTCATGGTTTTCTTCCTTTATTGGTTATGTAAGGGTATATAAACCGCCAGAAAGGTAAACTATGGTTGTCCCAAGGTTGGCCTCTAAAATATTTAACTATATAGCCTGAATCCGTCATGGAGCCTCAGTGTGGTGGTCTGCTGCACGCAAGGCAGATATATAAATTAAAAAAACTACTTCTATAAATTCAATATAACTCCCCGTAACAAGTCAACTAGGTCCAAAATCTTATGGGAATAAAGCTATTTTAGGTCTCCCCCCCCCTCCTGAAATATCAGGAAAATAAGGGCTGAATATACTTGGAGGAAAAAATATTCCACATTTATTTAGTGTGTGGCATAGCGTACATGGGCTTGCAACATGTATTAGCAATAGCACTTAGACTTACATACCGCTTCACAGTGCTTTACAGCCCTCTTTAAGCGGTTTACAGAGTCAGCATATTAGCTCCAACAATCTGGGTCCTCATTTACATTTCACCTAGATTAAAAACACAGTAAAATATGAATGTTAAAAAGGTCTATATTCAGAAATCAAAGCCTAGGCCATCTGGCCACTGAAGCATAGCATCGTTTATCTGGAGGAAAAAAAATAAGATACTGGACCAGTATATGCCCTCGACCTACAGCCAGTCACAGTGGAAGTTTGATGTGAAAGCCAACAGTCACACTGAGGGGAGCATGTAGACAGTGTGTGGAGTGTATTGCATAGAATGGGGGCCACTACAGAGAAGCGCCCTGCCCTACGCTCCACTCTTCATGCATCTCCCAAGGAGTGGTGACTTTGAGCAGGCTTTCTCTAGATCAGGGGTGTCAAACTTGCGTTCTCACAGAATCGTCATATCATGACTTTTGCCCCCTTTGGGCGTGGCCAGCAGATGGCCTGCGGGCTGCAAGTTTGACACCCCTGCTCTAAATGAATGCATCAAACAAGCAAATTTGGCTGCGGTGAGGTGTTGAATGCTATATTCTAGTGCTGTACTATTTAGAACTCTAAAAGTAATAATCTTCATTTTGAATTGGGGACACACACTTATTAGCAATTAATGGAAAACCTTTAATGTAAAAGTAATTCTATGCTTGCAGGGTTGCCCTACTGGAGACTGGTTTGCTGCAGTTTTAAAGATTTAATTGTATTTTTTTTTTTAAAGAATAAAAAAAAGGAAAAAATAGAACAGAGTAAATAACCAGGAGATTTATAAGCATTATAAGGATAAGTGTAAAGGTAGGCAAAAATGATCTCCAGGAAAGGGGAAAAGAGGAAGGAGTCTCCCCATTTAATGGCCAGAGGTGGAAATTGATTGGGTGATTAAAAATGGAGACAGGAAATTGGTATCTTCAGTCTTGGAAGATTCTGTTAGCCTTCCAATAAAATAGAATTATTATTA